TAGTCTTTTTGGTGACATAGAGGAATGCTGTTTATTGCCGAGAAATGCCTGTGGAAAAACAGTAGAACTAGATTACCTTCTCGCTGATAAAAAGTCATATTAGTAATAGATTATAATCTATAAACATAAACCTGGAATATCAGCACAGTGGCGGGATTATCATGATTTGTTGCATCGTGGTCAGAACCACGCATCAACCGAGGATGAAATGAATCAAAACCAACCATGTCAGCGGTTTGTGTGCAGCTTTTCACAAAAGTCATGCACCGACTTTTCAGCTCAGGTCCTATTTATTTGAGCTAAAATTCTGTTTTCCAGGTTATCTTTGGTATTTTTCTTATATCCAACAGACAGAATGGAGACAAATTGCCCAGTTTCTGCTTGTGATCAAAATCAAAGGTAAATATTTTCTAACTTGTCTGAGACATAAAATCGTCCCATCTGTCGTGATTAATCCACTTTATAAACCTGAATGATCCATAAGTCAGAATTGAGAAGTTAAAAATGATTGAAAAAATGCTTCTGAAAATGATCAGGGAAAGAGAAACAGAAACAGAAAGGCATGGTCTGATCCAGATATTTGGATCTGTGTTTTCCTTCCTTTGCAGATTTACAGAATTCCAGCTGGAATCACAAAATTCCTCTTTACGCCTCTTCCTCACCTCCTCAAACACAACCACTAGCGGGTATTTGTCTTCCGACAGGAAGTTAAAAATGCACCAGACTTTGAACGCATCATTATCTGAGATGATTAGCCGATGAGGGTGAATATTCTTTTTGTAACACAAAGTCCAGCACATCCTGTAGAACTCCAGCACATCGAAATCCTCCTGCACCTGTGGACGAAAACACAGAGTCAGAGAGGAGTCACAGAGAAACGCCAGCGACCGGCTTGTTTACAAGTGCAGAGCAAAAGGATTCCACTGTTGGTCTGCAGGATCTGAGGCGATGTTGTTACAGGGCTCATTTTTATTCAAGTCAGAGTTTGGCAGAGAAAAGGGAAGAAAAACGTCTTGCAGCACAACAAAGGGAGCCTGAGCTGTTTACTAGCTGGACTGAGTCAACTGAAACTTATGAGAGCCACAGCTAATTTTAATATTCATGGCACCGCTCTTGCGTAAAAATTAGAGAAAACATCTTACTCAGAATTTGCAACCACATTTAGATGATGAGTAATTTTAACGTGGCGCAAAGGAGGTGTGTGATCATGAGATTCATTTGGGTTTTTTTCGACGTTTCAGCGGAGAAGTATTACAAATCTTTCAATAATGTAAAACTATATTCCACTGAATCAATGATTGGAAAAGAGATTTTTTATTTTTTTTAACCACTCTTGGTCCTCACCTTATCGAGAATGTACCTGTTGAGGTAAGGCATGTAGCCCTCATTAGACAGAGGTCCCTTATCGTCTTCTTTAAAATGCTCTTCAAAGGTCAAAGGGTCATGGGGGATCTTCATCACTGTGCACAGGTTGTAGGAGAGCACCTACACAACAACAAGTAAACCAGAGCACAGCTGTGAATGTGAGAGCATTTATTCATTCGAAACTCGGAGTCCAGTAAAGTAACAGGGAACAGTAATGATACTGCACTCTGCCACAGCGACACGCACCACTAGCCGAGCGATCCTCCAGCTTCTACATGATGGTTCAGTGCGCTCAGCTGCACTGTTGCAAAAGGTCATCGGTTTCATTTCAGTTCTTTGCAGCACTGATATTTTATCTGGCAAAGTGTTACAAAAATATACTGAGCGAAGTCAGTGACGTTTGCTTAACACCTTAAAATATTAAAAAGGCAACAGAGCAGAGCAATGCACCATCAGTGTTTTTCCCCCAGTGCATCATAAGCCTGGAGGGCCACCAAGCTTTACTTTGCATTTTTTTAAGGCTTTGTAGTTGGTGGCCAGGTCTTAATCTTCCAGTCTTTCAATGACACTTAATTTTCAAGTGATATTTTCAGATTTTCTATCTACTTTAAACATTTTTTTAACTCAAAAACACGACGGGCCGCTGGATGAATGACTGTCCAGCCACTGGCCTCGGCATGTTGTCTTTGACCACATCACAAAACTCTTAATTTTCTCAAACTGACTGCTTGACCCTAAAATCCAATGATTTCCAAGGTTACCAAATCCCTAACCATTAGAGCAATGGTTTGCTTTAGTGGTTTGGTGGGCAGATTCGTCTGCATTTACCTCTGGTGACTCTGGCTCAAAATCTAGTAGAAAGGTTTCAGACGCCTTACCAAATCTGTACCACAAAGGACTGAAGGCAGTTTCTGGAAAGAGCTTTTTGTTTCTGAAGCTCTCAGGAGGCAAATCTTGTTGTTTGTATCCAGTTTTGTTTTAGCCGCGACATGCAACACTCTGATTTAGTTGCAAAACCATTTACAGAAGAGAAGATTAAATACTATTTTATCTCTCAAAATAGAAACTCCAACGAGGCATAAAAACAATTCATGTTCAAGATCTGCTAACAGCAGATTAACACACAAAACATTCCTCTAAATTATTATCATGAGAAAAAACAAATCAGCCAAAGAGATTTTGTTTATTATTACAATAAAGAAATGTTAAACTATAATAAATCAAAACTAAATTAATGGTGACATATCTGCACAGGGAAATCTGATATAAACAGTAAATATTTGCAGAAAATATTTTTCAACTGTTTCTGCAGAGAAAAAAGTTGAATCATGCATCCTGTATGATTTACAGAAGCAGAATCATGCAAGATGCAAAAAGTGCTAACCCAAGTGTTCTTGTGGTCAGACAGAAGTGAACAGAAATCAAAACGCACCTTTAACTGAGACTTGGAGACTTTCCCACGGTGGTCCACGTCCAGGGCCGTGAACGCATGCCAGATGGCTTTCAGAAGCTCCTCTCGAAGCCACATCTTGTCTTCTGGCGGCACCGGAACCGGCGGCGGGTTCAGCGTTTGGGTCTCTGAGCCCGTTTCTGGTGGAAAGCCTGCGCTCTCTCTCTCTCTCTCAGGGCAAACGCAGAGGGGAAGGGCTGGCGCAGAAGGAGAAGTGATGCGCGCTCCACGTGACGTTCAGTCGGTCGGGTTTGTTTTTCTCCTGATCCAAATATCGGTGACACGGTGGGAAGGAATACAGCCAGTCCACTTAAAAATGTGCTCCAAATTTAGCTACAGTTTGAAAAAAATAAAAAGAACTGCTTTTTTTTTGTTTTCTTTAAAGAAATTCTGCCCTTCCTGTTCAGTGAGAACAGGAAGGGCATATTGATCTCCCACTGATTAATATGCTGCTGTTTCTGAACTGCTTCACCAGATTGCATTAAGAGCCTGTTTGTGTCATTCAAATAAGTTAATGAGACTTTTAAAAATCTTGAATGCAAACCAGTCCTCCAAAAACACCAGAGAACCGCATCAGCTCCAAACCACTATGCGACCTCTCCCGTGTTTAAGTAGTAAATGTGTTCATGATTTGTTTTCAGAATTTTTCAAAATACTATTTGACTCATTTCGCAAAATAGAAAAAATAGAGTTTCGGACCACTAAACTGAAAATCAGAAGTTTTTAGCTTCTCCAGCTGCAGATGTTTAAATAAATCCTCGTTTTGGATGGGATCAGATTCCCATTGTGTTTGTTGAAGGTGTTCAGTCACAAAACCCTGTTTTTACAATCCTGCCTGATTAGGAGCTTGAACACACAGTCAAATAGCAGCTATTTACCCCTTAAACTAGTGATCATAATTAAAAATGTGTATGTTTTGAATTGATGAAGACTGGGTCAGTTTCAAGCACATCAAATGAAATATACACATATATAGCTTTTCCTGAGCTACATTCTAAACAATTTTAACCATAAAAAATACACAAAACCCAATCAATATTTTTACCTACTAATAAAAACATGTTAAGGTTTTTTTGGGGGGCACTAGTGGCCTTTATTCATCAGTAGCTTGACAGAGAAAGGGGCAGCGTGAAAAGAAACTGAACCTGGGTCGGGCTGCAGTGTCTGTATGTGGTGCGTTTGCTCTACCACTGATCCACCTGCTGCCTCCACAGAAACAGTTTGATGATCTGGTCAGAAAATAAAATCCGGCCACCTGCAGCATGTGAACGACACACAGGACCGTATGTTGGTAAAACATGACAAAATGAACAAACATGATTCCCTTAGCTTTTTTTTTTTTTTTAATATGTTGTATATATAGACGGTTCATCCATACACCAACCAAAAGCTTGAGACCTTCACGATAAGTTGAATTGTACATGCTTCAACGATGTATCCAACGGCACATCCAGTGCTGACAAACACTTGTCCTATTAGCCATACTGAACACCAAAAGCATCCTCTCGTCCTGAAATTGTGTGCAACTGATTCTCTCCGACCAGATGCATTTGTTAATCAGCTGTTAACAACTGCAAAGGAACAAAGTTACAGCCTGTATTTCCCCATTCTTAAATAGTCTTGAATTAAAAAAAAAAAAAAAAAAATTTGCAGTCTGATACAGAAGGCTAGAAGACCTGAACAATATGAAAGTGCTAGTCATTAATTTACAGAGATCAGGCATCACATGAATTATCCAATATGCTACATATGAATACAGCTGTTGATACCTTACAAAAGCCTCTGGTCGTTTTTCAAGGCTACTTGAAAAATCAATAACCTTGGCCTGTATGTACATAAACGTGAGTGTTTGTTTGTTTATGCAGAAAGATTCGCAGATTTCACCACTACCAGAGGTATAGTCTGAACGTGGCCCCTTGGCCACAGCGATAATTAGTCCCATTATCAATTCTAGCAGATAATCCACCCACCCCCGCCCTCTTTATTTGTTTCAGTGGGAAGAAAATACGAAGGAGTTGCTGTCTCAGGGGCTCCAGGGGACAGCGTTGTTCAGAGCTTCTCCTCTTGCATCGTGCTCAAGTTCTTGGTTTGGTTTCCTGAGCCATCGGTTGCATTTTAGTTGCTTTTCCCCCCACATCTTCTGGTGCTATTTCCCATTTGACAGATTGAAGAATGACTCAGAAGAACCAGTTCTGGAACCACTATTTAAGGGAACAACACAAGCTTTTTTTTTTTTTTTCACTTCACTACAATCAGTCACAGAGTAATAAAAAAAGAGTAGAATAGATGACTCAATTCATTCCCGGAGCCGTGCCCCCGAAGTTGAAAGTAGATGGCACCACCGGCGCTGTGAACTTGTAGCCGCCGTGTTTCTCGATCATTTTGGACTCTGGAAGAAGATGGAAAGCAACAGGGATTTGAAAACAAAAGAAATGTTCCAGGTTTTTCTTTCTTCTTTGTTTAAAAACTCATTTTTCCATGTGAAAAAAATAAAGTGATTTCTTCTGCAGGATCAGAAGTATTTCCTTCTTAAGTCATTCAGTTTTTGCCCCCTTTCACCACCTCTGAATGTTTTGTACTTGCTTTTGAAAAACACCATGAAAAGCTTAAGACTTAGAGTTTTATGTTTCAACAAGAACACAGACTAAAATTTCCTTTTATAATTTATACAGATATGCAATTTGACATGTTTATAATAAAACTTAAAGGTTTCAATCAATTTTAAAATGTCAATTGTTGACAAAAAGAGAGAAAAAAGCAGGCATGATTCAGGTGTGTATTGTTGCATCTCTACATTTATTCAGCTCTAGTCTGCTGCAGGAAAATGTAAAATAGATTGGTTTATTATCTGTTATGCCTTTATTTTTTTTCTTGCATAGGAAAAAAGTTAATATAGTCTAAAATCCAAAAATTGGTCAAATTGCCCCTTTTTGGAGTGAGTGTACCACCATTTCTGACCACTTTGAGAAAAAATTAAATCTCAAGGTAAAACCACAGAAAACATTTTTTTAAAAATCATTCAAAATTTCTGATTTTTTTCTTTCTATAAACAACCAATTAAGTGTTTGCACTCAAGGCCTTATTTATACACAGCATTTAAACTAAATTAAATACCTTTGGAGAGTGCATTGGAATGCATTAGATTTGAGTTATGACAATTCAAATCACTTTTTTGTGACTCAATAGCATCACTTAACCTTTTTAACTTTGTTTTCCCATCATGCCTTCAACCCCACTGGACATAGCTAGGGTTGATGTAAATGCAATAAATAAAGAAAGAAAGCAAAGCGAAAGAAAGAAGCCATGCATAAATTATTTTATTTCCAGAATTGAAGAAGGTTTTCATTTCGTCTTAGGTGGCGCTCACCGTGTGCCGCCCGCCTCTGGTCTGCGAGCGTGCCGATTTCCAGAAGCTGTTTGCGCTGCTCGTCGTCGAGGGTTTGCGTTAGCGCCTGGTACCATGCGGGGTCGCGGCTCTGGATATCTGCGTCAAGAGACGGGTCACAGACGGGTGAGCCCCACAGCTGCTGACTGCTACCAACACTGACTGATGACAGGCGGGCCTCTTACTCTGTAATATGGCTTTAAAGATCTGATATTCATCCACTAGATTATCCTCATCATCCACAGCTGTAGCGTAGCCCTCGAGTGCCGTCTCCTCGGCGTCGTCGTCCTCCCAGTCCTCGTCGTCTCCGTCCTCTCCGGCGTGCTTTGCCAGCATCTCCAGATACTCCTGGCCCTCCTCGTCGATGTCGTCCTCGTCGCTTCCCAGTTCCGCTACACAAAGTTTAAAAAAGAAGCAAAATCCATTTAGGATGCACTCGATTTACCCAGAAGCAAAACTCAGAATAAGGCTGGCGTGACGGAGAAAACACACACCGTTTTCATCCTCTTCTTCCCCGTCTTCGTCTTCGTCGTCGTCTTCATTCTCGTGTTCCGCTCGACAGGCGTACGCCCTCTTCAGGCCGCTGAACAAAAGGATGGCTGCGGGAAGAAGCTGCCCGCCCACCTGGTTGATGGCCGGAGGCCTGTGTTCGAGGTCAATGAGAGCGCAGAGGCCCAGGACGCACATCTTCCTGTCATGGAGGCTGGCAAACAGGAAGAGTCAAAGTTATATCATCAGAAAATGTCATTTAAAAAAAAAGACATCATCAGTAAACATTTAAAATTCCAGGCTCTTTGCTTTCATTTCAAGCAGACTTGAAGGAGTAGCAGGAAAAGGCAACGTTAAGCTCATACCCGAGGAAGCAGTCGATATCTTTAAGCCACTGGGTAATGAAGTGGTTGGTGATTGGTTCAGTGCTGTTGGGGAACCGGAGATTCTCCAGAGTGTTGAGGAGGAGGGGCGGGCTGTAGTAGAGAGCAGCGATGGCCACCTGCAGGCACATGGTCCGCAGCTCGCTGGTCTTCACCTCCCGCGTCAGGCGCTCCAACGCCGTGCCGACAAACAGGGGAACGACCTGCAGCAAGGAGGAAGTCATGTTTGAACAAAATCTACGGCGAGACTTTTAACAATAATACCGACATCTTAGTAGCTCATCTAAGTGAAACGTAAAGGCCTGACCTGATCAATGCCGCGACCTTTGCACTGCAGAATGATCACTTCCAACATTTTGGCAGCGTGGCACTCTGGGTCTTCACCTGGATCACCAGTCAGGACCTGCACCAATCACAACGAGGGATTCATCTCTATGGTCGGTCATCAAGGTAACTTAAAAAATAACCTTTTATTTCATTGTATGGTTTCAACTACATTTTTGCATGCCTTTGGCAGTGTTGAATGCCATGAAATTCAATCAGGTTGATGATCATTTTTGGGTGAACGTTAAATTTTTCCACCTCTTTTGTTCCAAATTCTTAGAGAAATCTGTATCTCTTCTACGTTTATACAGCATTTTCTTTGTATTTTCTGTCTCTGAAATCTCTTCAAACTAATATATTTTATTGTGTAAAAAGATAAATCCTATTCACCAAAACCAGCATTTCGTGCATCAACATTTCAGAAGACTCATGAATTTGTTAGACCTGGTAAAGATGAACATTTCTGGTACAACTAATGATATTAAAAGCAATATTTTGCATGTAATATTTCCAACATTTACCTTCTTGCACATGCTGTAGATAATCTCCAGGTATTTGGTGTCTGACAGGAGTGTGTCTGTATCCACTGTGACGTAGTTGTGAAGTAGAGGCATCATATCTGGTAAAAAAAAAAATGATGCAAATTTGTTTACAGCATTTAGAAGTCTTAATTCGACGTTGAACATATTTCACTTCTACGATGAGACGACAAGCTTTCCTCGGTGTCTGTACCTGTAAAGTAATCAAACCCGTCTTGCTGGAAAACTTCGTACACAAGTGGAAGAAGCTGCCACATCTGTGGCGACACCTGCTGGCAGGTCAGGCTGTGAGCCAGGGACAAGATCTCCTCGTAAAACTCTGAGAACGACAGACCCAGGAGTTTAAGGATCATTTGGTTTCTATTAGGTTTCCATAGTACAACATGCAGGTGCATCGTGAGCCGCTTGTGCTTACCGAGAACGTGCTGCTGCAGCACCGTGCCGATCACCTGCAGACAGATGCCCTCCAGCTGCTGGGTGATCTGCAGCAACACAGGTAAAGGAAATAAGCAAGTTAAGAATTTTATCCAGAAAAACAAGTCAAATGGATAAATGTCATGTACCTCTACGTCAATTAGTCTTAAATTGAAAGATGGATTTATAATTTTATTCTAAGCAGCATTTCTATGAAAGTCATGTCAGACAATTTTGACTGACATTTGAATTTGGTTTAATTATTTTTAAAACTGATCAGAGCTAAAAGAGCTTGCTGCATAAACTGCAACATACACCAATACTAATGGAAAGTTGAGTGGAAGAACAAACGGTGGAAGAAAAAGCTGCAACAGCTACAACCCACGTCTTGGATGGGATTGTGAAGAAAAACAATATTTTGGGGGAGACTGTCCCTCAACACAGAGATGCCATTAAGCCTGTCATAACAGGAATTTGATTTCTATTCAGATTAATAATTTTTGGAAGGGAATTTTTTTTTAAATTCATTTTCTTTTACAGAGACTTCATAATTGATTTTATTTAGTTTCGTTTGAGAGTGGGTTTTTTTTATTTATTGCTTCATTTGGTTGTTTTATTAAATTTATCAGTGAGGTTAAACCTTCTTTAATAAGCTATTATCAAAATATTAGTTGAAAATTGTCTCAAAATGAATATTGTTTTTTGCAATAATTTCTGGGACAATTTCTCATCCAGTAAAAACCCGTTGTTGTGACAAGTATTAGTAGAACTAGAAGCAGCAACGTCGTCTTCACATGCATAAATCGCACCAATTTACTTCATCTAATGTGGGGAAAAATATGCACAAAAAAACAAAAAAAAAAGGGGGTTGGCTTTCTATTCTCAGGTATGGAGCCATTATGCAATCAAAGCAGGACGGACAATCTGTTTGGAGTGCTTTGACTTCAAGCAGCAGCAGTGCATCAGCAGACGTGGTGGCAAAGTGCCCCGGCACTATTTCTAGCGTCTGCCTCAGCCTGTGAGTCATTCTGAACATGGAGAGAGCAGAGCCTGTTCCCAGGAGTTGGTGGGTGGCGCAACTGTGTTGGCAGGAACCCTGCAGCAGACCGGAGCCCGTTTCCCATCATGAAGTGACGTGAAGCGGAGCGGTCAGGACGCTAATGCGCGCGCCCGGTTGGTTTTGTGTGTGGGCTTGCGCTGATGCTGCTCACCTCTTTGTGGTCCTCCACCACACTGAGCAACGTGTCGATGGTGTTGAGGATGCCCATGGCCGTCACCGCTTTATCGTCGCCTCCCTCCTCATCGGGCCCCGTCTGAATCACCTGGTTGAACGTCATTGCCTGTGAAAAGAGCAAGCACATTTATATCACAGGGAGACACGCAGCAGATCGGTTTCCCTTTGCATTGTTTACATTTTGTCTGAACCAAGACTTCAATAAAGTGCTACTGATTTAAAAATTTTTTTAAATTATCAGCTCTTACCAAGTGCTGCGTCATCTCCACAGCTATTGGAGTGACCTCCTCGCTGTATTCGCAGATCATCTTTTGTATGACGTTGGTGAGGTCATCGTTCTCCGTTTCCCTGACGATGTGCAGGAGAGCCTGCATCACCGGCCGAATGTAGGGAGCGATGTATTCTTTGGCTGACAAAACAAAATATGCATCAATGTGTTCTTTTTTTTTTATCATTATTTAAATTAAACCAGGTCTGTCATGCCTCACCTTTCTCCTGGTTGCTGATGAGAACCTGCAGAGCGATGGCGGCCTCCACTTTCACCGGCATCTCATTGTCATTGATGAGGCAGTTTCGGGTCAACTCCAGGGCCGTCTGCAGGTTCTGATCGCTTTTGAACTTCACCTCGCAGAAGTAATGCAGCACCCAGCAAGCCTTTTAAGAAACGGATATCAGGATAATGTGGTCTGATGAGGGTTTACTGAAAGGAAATGTGTGATCCGGTGCTCCGCACTCACTCTGGCTCTCATGTAGCCCAGTTCACTGCGGAACAGGGGGAAGACGTGATTCTGCAGCATGAACTCCATCTGGTCTTTGTAGATCTTTTTCTGTGCAAGAATTATACAAAATAAAGGACAATAAAATCTTTGCTTTAAAATTTGATTTAAAAAAAATAAATAAAAAGCTAATGTGAAACAGCTAAACATGAAAGCATCAGAATACTGGTTTTGTAAATACTAAAAGGTGATTGCTGCAACTGGAAAGGTCTAGGACGTCATTAGCGACCGCCCGACCCGGCCCACTCTGCGCCTCTCTCCGCCCTGGCTTTGTTGTGAAAGTATTTTCTTGACAAGAGGCTGTTAGCTGTGCTTCCTTTCTCCTGTGTCATTTTCCTTCCTTCTGTGCCTCGCACACAAAGTGGTACGGCCGTGCAAAGCAAATCCCCAACAAAGCCGTCTCCCACAACATAACAAGACAGTGTTATGGAAGGGTCTTTTTTTTTTTTTTCTACGCTCTGGAGGAGGAACGCTCAGACTAATTTCTTTTTCACTGCCATCTGGAGAAAGTGACACATTTCCACCAGCTATTCATGATGGAGTGATGCAGAACAAGAATGAGGGGAGTTTTACTGAGGCAGAGATGAGCTGGTTTGTTTTCTCAATGGCAAGAATCTCCATGTTATGTTAATAATCAGCCAAAACAGCAATATTAGTATCAGATCTCAGCTCAAATTTGCACATTGGTGCATCTCTACCAAATTCAAATCTTCAAGGTACAAGCTGTGTGTTCAAACTGTAATTTGGATCATAATTTTACTCATGTTAATGTTTCAAACTAAAATATAAAGTTTGTCATTTCAAATGATTACAACAAGGGGATCATTTAGCATAACAAAATAATTTAAAAAAGTACATTAAATGGCATAGATAGAAGACATCAACTTTGAAAGCTTTTGTGCACAGCTTACTTTCAGTAGGATTTCAGCCAGAGAGCCTATCATATGCAGGGCCCCGTCCTTTTTCCTGGGGTCCGAACTGGGATCGGTGAGAATCTGGTAGCAGAAGCCCATTGTCTTTTGCAGTACCTGAAAAAGAGCAGCAACCGGAATCCTTTCTTCAGCTCAGAATATCAACTATAAAGTAAACAGAAATAGAATCTGCGCGTCTCAAAATTTAGATTCAACGCACTTCTTTCCTCTTGTTGCAGGCAGTGAAGAGGAGCGTCTGGGCGGCCGTGGTTGGAGAGATGAAGTCCTCGAACACGTCTAACAGAAGATGACATGATAGATAAGCTGTTAGTCATTGCATTTGTGCTCAACTGCTTTTGGATGACGGACGAGGAGGGAGTTCCTCACCGAATTTCATGCGGATGTACTCGTACGGATCCTCCTGCCAAAGCTCCTCGTCGGAATCTGTGTAACACATAAGAGGGAAAACCACATCCTGTATGATGCCCTGAAAAACAAGAGCAACAGCCAGAGGTTTAGCCCGACACAAGCCAGAATTCCTAGCAAAAAAATAATAATAATAACTTTAGTAAAGCAAAAGTGTCACGACAAAATTTGCATGCATCGAACAGAACACTACATGCATCAACATCAACAACACTCTCTAAAACTTAAGAGTGTGGTGGAGACACTGCCATGATTATTAAGAAAAAATTAGGTAACTGCAATAGATCTAGTATTTGCAGTGACAAAGACTAGATCACTGCAAAGACCTTATTTATGGGATGCCTAAAATAAGTCACACTGGTACCTGGATGTGTGGTTTGAGGTTTTTCCACGTCAAAGCATGTGCTATTCCTTGATTGATGTAGTTAAGCGTCTGTTGGAGAACTCTGGGAGCAACATATTGCTTTTCCTTGTACTGGTATAAGACTTTCAGCAACACCTGTAACACACACAAAAAAAAACACCCAAACTTCACTTCACCAGGCTTTTACACAGTAAAGTTAAATTTAGCTGTTGGCAGTTTGACATTCTACCTGCTGGGCAGCCACTGCGTACTCCTTCAGGAACAGTTCAGCAAACTCTGCGTACTCTTTGGTTGTGTTACCGGGACTTCCGTACCTGCAGACGAGGTTTGGGGAATAATTCTGCTTTCCTTCACATTTCCTTTGAAATCAAACGGTTGTGGGGATTTTTTTTCTTACCTCTCAAACAGTCGAGCCAAGATGTGAAGGGCCCATTTCTTGCATTTCCACCAAGGCAGCTCTGGTCGCTCATCTTCGTCGATCTGCATCGTCTCCTGCATAGATCACATCAGGAGAGTGTGTTCAAGAAGGATTTAAAAACGGGGCTCCTGCAGGTTTCACCAAAGGTCAATACCTTTTAAGGCCCTTAGCAGTGGAATTTAAGACTTTTATCATGACAGAAATGTAGAAAAGATCATTTTATATAGTAGCAGTGACAGAATTGTTTAGCCCACAATGAAAGCAGCATTGTGCAGGTTGGAGAAAGAAGTGAAGAAGAATGTCACCCAGCCAAAAATTACACTTTATCCATGATAGGCGCAAAAAGGTAGCAAGCGCATTTGTGCTAGCTACAGCCGCTGTGAGTCACAAAACGCAATGTTTGCGTTTGCCTGACAGAAAAGTCCCATGATAAGAAAAACCTACATGTACAAAATTAAATAGTTCTGCCATGAAAAAATTTAAGACCTGTGAGTAACAATTTTAAAGCCAACGTATATTTTTAATAAATTTAAGACTTAATTTTAGGTAAGCAAATTTAAGACTTTTTAAGGATGCAGACATCCCATGTAAAATAAAATAAAAAATAAATAAAAAAAATTAAATAGTAGACTTGATATTTTTAACATTATATTAAAGGTGTTCTGATCTTACTGGGGGAACGTCTCTGTCCACAACTGTCTTCAGGATCTCCATCCACTCTGTCAGGATCTGTCTGTTGATGAGCTCCAGTGGGAGATTATACTAGGAGGAAACAACACTGATTTTAACATAAACGTCCCAAACACAAGAGCAAAAGCTGACCTCAAGTCAACGCCATATGTGGTGGTTAAACTCAGATCCAAAGTGTACCTGAAAGAGAGCGTAGAGGATTTTGAAGATCTGTTTCTGAATGAGGACAGATTCGTTTGAGTGGTCCTGGAGCAGCTGGATGAAACGGTCCTTAAGCATGGGCATGAAGATGTGCATGGCTGCCACAAGAGGCTGCCTCTCTTCTGGTTTCTTATATCTGAGTCAAACATGAGCGCAGTGTTAATTCTGCCGTAAAACATGGTGAGAGAGAGAGAACAGAAGACACCCAGGATGAAGAGCCAGGACTCACTCGTAGTTTTTGACGAGTTGGTAGAGGCAAAGCAGGATGCCCAGCCAGGCTAAACTGTTGTCCGACTGCAGGTAGAAGCCGATCTTGTCCACGATGCTCGTCCACTTCCCAGGGTAGTCGTGCTTGATGATGTGGTGAATACATGTTGTCAGCTGGACTCTGGTGGAGCCAATTTAGAAGGCGACAAAATATGAGGCGCGAACAGGAAGGGGAAGATGGATGTATGACAAAAATAAAAAATAAAAAATCTGAGCTCCTCTAGCTTAACTGAGCCTGCAGGGTTTGTGGTTACCTGATGCGCTCGGGGGATTGGATGATTGCCTCTACTATGTTGTCTCGGATGAACTGCCTGTCTTCCTCTGGGATGTTATTAACGGGCGGCTCTGAGCCAGCAACTTCTCCATCACTCCAGTGCTGGATGATTTTGTTCTTAAGGTAAATCACACCTAGAATAAAAAGTAGCACAACGCTCAGGCCTTCTTATCACTTCCAAATTGAATAAATCTGGACAATAACCACCAGATCCTACTTCACTTTGTGACTAAGCTGTAGAAATGAACTCTTCCCTAGCTGAGTGCTTCTGAATGTAACACCAACGTGAGCTCGGGTCGCCTCTACAGTGTGCAGCTGCATGACACACGGGGAGAGGCATTTGACAAAGCAGAGATGAGAAAGCAGACGTCAGAGTGCTGACACAAATGTCTCCACCGCTGGTGATCATAATCCAGCCCATCAAGGCTGACAAAGCATAAAACCCCTTCTACATCCCCCCTCTATTCATCTCCAACCAGTACAGCACAAAACACTCGTTCAAGTAGTCACCAATGTTGTGATATTTTCATATGAAAGCAAGGTACAGACTTGGGAATAACCAGGAATCTAATGTGAGTCAGCTTTCACTGTTTTAATATAATAATAATAATAATAATAATAATAACCCTCATGAAGGTGGAAACTCCCTGACAAATCTAATCTGTTTGTAATTTACTACATCCGTATGTTGCTGTATTAAGAGTTTTAGCTGAAAAGTAGAACTACGAATGTGTAAGAATTTGAAAAATGAACCAGTTTGACCTGACAACTTTTAAACATGTATTCTTCTCCCCATTTAGTAACATGTGACTGATTCAAAACAAGTCCTATTTGGCAACAGTGTGTGTGTACACAACTTCAGGAAGGCCTTTAACCTCTAAAAGCAGGCATGACTCATGTATCAATGCTAACAGATCCCAATTAAACTTGTACACAGGTTTATGCTCGCATAAAAACATTGATAGTCAGAAATCAACATTTCAGCAAAGAGGTAACTCAATTTGAAAACAAAATGACTAATCACTGTTGATTATGTCAGATAAGGCTTTTCAGCCTTATCTGACATAATCAACAGTGATTAGTCATTTTATATCAGTCAGATAAGGCTGATCAAATTATAAAAACTTGCTGTAAGCACAGTTGCTAGGCAAACAAGTCAGGATTTTACAGTGGCAATTTAACCCTTAATCATTTCAGAAATATGTGAATGAAACTTAATTATGGTATGCGGTACATAGTTACTGAATGGTATTTACAACACTTGCAGCACAGGATTTTGTTTACTCTAAAACAGTCGGCAAGATGAAGCCTCACCTGCTTGCCTGACCGGCAAATCCAGCTGATCAGACATGGTGACACGCAGCAGAGTGGACATGAAGTTAACCTGGGTGTGAGCCTGCAAGCATTTTCAAAAACAGACGATTATGGTCAGACATGCGATCTTAAAAATAATACAGACTTCAGTCATATGGCCCAGCATTTCTGACTTAGCACTTTGAATTTTTCCAAAGCAGCTTGGGTCAGAGTGCCAAAAAAGGCAAGTGGAATATGTGAAACAAAGGCGTTTGAATGGTTATACTTGCTTAAACTGTTACTGAGCAACTAAAAACAAAAACTAAATTTTCCAAAACATTACACATCCTTTAGCACAAAATAGATAAAGTTATTTCACCAAGTACATTTCTGTGTAAGAGCAAAAAGCTGTTAAAGAGCACCGGTGGATGAATGGGACGAAATAAGTACATGAGCACAAGTACAGTGGTATGCCAAACTCTTTGCAACAAATACAACCCAACAAGCGTCAGTAAATTCTTTCAGTCTCTCTGCGGCGACTCTTTGTCTATCTGACTTTGGACTCTAATCGACTAAATCCCAAATTTTCCCCTTAAAATACATCTGCAGTTTGTTATTTTTTTTAGGATTCATTTGATTTGATTTCTGGGAGCCAATAGTTAGATGCACCAAAAAAAAAAAAAAAATTACCATTGGTAGTATTTTATTTAAAAAAAAAAATGTAAGTGTAGGAATTGACATCACAATCCATACATTTATTCTGATGTCTGCAGACATTTTATTTAAACATAATCCCAATAGGCTGAGCTGGAAGACAACACTATTCTCTCTGCCATTCAAGTGAACTATCAATGCATGTGGGTGTAGAGAAAAAAAAAAGAAGCTTGCCCTGAGCACAGCCAAAAATATACTTGAGATGTTTGAGTAAGTAGAGCAAAACACGAACATTTGTCATCATCTCCGTTATTGTTTCGATAGAAATTACAAAACCGTATTGAGGCACACCTGCGAAACTAAAGCAAAACAAGCCAATAGGGGAAATTAGAGCTACGGTTTTGATTCAAGCATGATTTTGTAAACTCTAAAACAGATTCTATTTTTTAAAGTGAGATCTTTCAAAATTGTCAAGATGTTTTTGCAAACCACAGAGGAAACAAATATGCAAACTGTTAAACCCATAGTCATTGGGATTTTAATGAGTCAGAGAAATAAAAGAATCACTCACACTCATGACATAAATACAACTATTTTTTACATTGTAAGTTTTAAATCCACTGGTGTTTCTAATCATTTTCCCCTTTGCCATTAAATAATATTAAAAAGACTAATTTGTCACTGGAGCTATTAAATCTGAGGAATATTTTATGACAACCGATTTCTATACATTTTCAGGGATCAGTGGACTATTCCTTTTGTCACCATCTTTCAAGTTAGCTTTCTTCCCATTGCTCTTATCATAATTAAAAACTTAAAGATGATCAAACTATATGAAGACCAAAAAAAAGCCAATGTGTTTTCCAGAATGTCTCACCTAATTAAGTAAATACTGGCTGAGAACCTGGTACTCATCATGATTAATAATAATGAAAATCCAATAACCACTACAGTCTGTGATGGGCGTTGGTATTATCTGCCTTCTGCAAGTCATTTAGGCAGATAAAGACTCAACTTCTACTCAAGGTTATGGTGCGTCGTCGCTGTATCCTTTTTGAACAGCATAACGAGACAAACAACACTGTGTCTAAAGCAGGGCATTTAAACAGAGCCTAAAGGCAGGCAACGAACTAAGTTGGTGGACTTTAAATCTGAGCTTCCGCGTGTTTGCTTGACGTATCAAGCAGCTATCTGTTCGCCACTGACGTGATTAAAGAAGGTAAATAATCAGACTGATTGCGAACTGTGTCGTTTCCATGATCTAAAGCAACATTGTGTACAGATCCGAGCACATCACAGTGACACGTGAGCAGAAGAGGCAGCTATGTAGCGGAGCTAGCTGATGTTAGCCGCACAGCTCCTCTTCCTCCTCCTGATACCCAAGATTAGGAATTGTCCAAGAATTCATACAGCTGTACTCGTTACCAGATAACCCAGAGGTACGGATTTGAGCTTATGTGGGCTATGACACGGTTTTTGCTGCGTCAAAAACAGGACGTGGCTAAAGAAATGCCCCGTACACCTCACCAGGTTAGCTTGTTTAGCATTAGCAACACAGCTGGCTTCAGATGAAGCTAATAGCGGTTACTGACATCGCCATTAAAAAAACCCTTCCCAGTTAGGGCTTGTAGCGATAAGCTGACAACACATAAACCCGTGGTAATACACAGCACGCGATGCGACAAAGATTTCGCGCTTGATATATCAAGCTAGGGCCAGCAGAGCCCGGTGTGCGTGATGGCTGCATCTTTATGTTTGTGGACCGCCGAGGCCCGAGTTCAGAACCGCGCCACAATCTTGACTTCACCGCGGACAGCTAACCTCAACTTTTTACCTCGTTCAGCTGTCGCTCCGCGGCCTCCCGCAGGTTTGGGTCCATCGTCCCCCGAAGGGCCTCGACCAAAGACTTGGGATCCATCGCGAAAACTCTGTTTGCGGCTCGGATTTTAATATTTCAGAGGTCTGTCAGTTCCCAGTCACTGCGCACATGGACGCACGGCTCTCCGGTTACCCGGCGCGAAAGGAAGCAGTGAATGAGGTACCCGGATAGATCAGCGCCAAATTTGTGCTACACGAACATCCGGCTGCAGCTGCGTCATTGTGGGAGTTGTAGTTTAGACAATGGAGGCTATTGATTCTGTTTTCTTATCTTTTTTTTTCTTTTTTGCTTACAATTAAATGTTATCTGAGACATTTTAAAGTCTGCAATATTTATCCATTTCTAAACAGCCCATGAAAATAAGTGTCATTTCATAAAAACATGACAAGTGGACTAGTTTCCATTGAAATACATAGAGATCATTTTATTTTTATTCATCTTTTTGTATTAGGACAATTCATTAAATTAACTGTAACACGACGCTGATGTGGGTGTTTTACTTATATTGAATGTTTTTATGTTTCTCTCATTTATTTCCATACTTTTTATCCCTTCAGAGGTGTGTTGTTGTTGTTTTTTTGTTTGTTTGTTTGTCTTGGGGGGGGTTTTTGGGTTGTCTTATTTCTCTCTTTGTGGATTATTCTCCCACAAATAAATTGGAACTGTATTTAAGAAAGGCCCATTTTCCAAGCAATTCTGAGAAAAGAAAGGTCACAACCCTCCATCAAAATGAGTTGTCATAGTTGATTCTTCAAACAATATCAGACATTCTTTTGTAACAGTGGCTCCAAAAATCTAATATCAGCAATGAAGTATTTTCCTGATGTGTCTCTGCTTCCTTCAAACAACAACTTTAAGGTATTTTAGGTTGAATGACTTCTTTGTCATCACTAAAAAGTTTTATTGGATTTATCTTTGGTTTGTATGAAAAAATTGTGTGGGGAAACTTCTGGAGTATTTTTCAGATGTCAAATGAAATAATAACATAATTTGCAATAATTCTAATATATCACGTGCATACTTGCTAGATTTTTTTGGAATCTGTGGTATGGTAGGATTTGTAAAAAAAACCTTAAAATAAAGGTAGTTGCTGTAGTACAATATCACCAAAATGTAAGAATATATATATAAAAAATAGAATATAAATACACTTTATTGTCAGTGAAGGAATTTAGATGTCACAGCAGCAAGTTAGGTTAAGTGGGAGCATGCATTCACACAGTGGTAAATAATCGACACATAATAACCAATACAGTAAGGCAAAATTAAATTGTTGGTGCTTCTGCTTTTAATACTTAGTAAAATCTCTTACTGACATTAAAAATATTTATATTGCAATTTACATTTAAATATTTATATATTACCTGAATCCATGTATTTGCATTCATGTACAAGTTATTTTTACTTTTAAATATCTTGTCAAACATGTAAAATAGACTAAAAGTGGGACAGAATGAAAATAAATTTTGGATCTTTCCTTCCTATACAACCACAAATATTCAAATTAAATCCCCGTGATTAACTTTTATCCTTCGATTTTTGAAAGTTTTTGATTTTCGGAGGACGTTTAAATATGATTAACTTATGCATGCTGTAAGTTCATCCTAAGTTCATCTATGTTCCTGCAGGGGGCGCTACTGTGGATAGTTGGGGGTTTGCAGATCGACGCGTGGAGGTAAAAGGTCACTCTGTCTAACGTGTCGTCAGACTGTAACCGGTGTCACTGTGCCGGGGTTGCTGCTGAGCACCTACCTTCGCAACAACTGTAAAAATAAATAAAAAAAATAAATAATGGCCAAAAAGCGGAGAGATATACGAGACGCAGACAATTTGTCCTCATCGGCGCAGACGGAAGTGAAGTCTGGCGACAGAGACTCTCAGCTTCTGAAAGGTAAGTTCCCTAAAGAGGCTAACTGTTGACCTGAGAGGAAAGGGGATTGAATACCTATCGGCGATACAAATTAGGCAACACCCTGGCCTTCGGTCTTCTTATTTACACGAACATCGGTCAACATTGAAGAGCAGGAGCTAACGCTAACTAGCCACAGTGAGCTAGTGAAAAATTACCCTCGAGCGATGACTTCGATGGTTAGCATGATACCGTCAGATAGTAACAGTTAAACAGCGAAACGTTAATCTGTCTTTTCAGAATAGCAACCCAACTGTAACTATAACATTAAAATCATACGACATAATAAAGTGTTACCTCCTATGATTAGATAAGTAGTTTAAGATATTCGTTGGAACACCGTTGATCTTTAGGGACAGTTAACTCTAATTTAATCCTGGGAAATCTACAGACATTTATGATGAAAACAAACCGGAAGCTAATCAAAGGAACCATGTTCATCACTCGAGTTAGTTCCCCATTTCAGACATTGCTGCTGGAATGCTCTGGCCGAAAACATATTTGTTTACGTGAATTGAGTGAAGATGTCAATTATAGGTCGTTTAATTTAGACCTGTACGTCATGTCAAGTTACAGTGGTCTAAGGCTAAGCAGTATTAAAATTGCAACAGGTGCCAAAGTTGCTCAGCCTGTCGGATCATGATTCTCCCACTGCCATGCATTCATGTCTTTTACACATCTGTTGTATTTCTGACTCTCATTGCCTGTATTCTGGAGGCTATTTTATCTGGATCAGAAACCTCAGCTCTGAGAACATGATTGCAGCAATTTGGTATTGAGAACATCAGAATAGTGTCAAAGGATGTGGGTTCATTGCAACTGAGATATCACTATAAGCAGCAATTGCATTGCAACAGCTTGTGGTCCTGACAAACTGACACTTTTTTGTACAATAAAATTTCCTGGCATTTTAAAGAAATATGAACTGCTTAAAATTGGAGCTATTTGTACATTTTCTTGGCATTTTAAGTAATTTGTTTAGGGTTTCTTGCTGCACATCTATACCTGAAAAATTCAGATGAATCAAGGCTACAACTTTCCCCAGCCTCTTGTGTAAAGTTGGTAACTTTCTGAAGTTTATATTGTCTAAATGTCTGTGTCATTTACTCTATGTAACAAGATCTTCTAACACTTGTTTCTTTAAGTGAAAATAGATAAACTTCTGTGGACTGTAAATGAATTATGTTTCTGTAACAATATAATGTAACTATCATTTAGAGCAAAAGGTACCCCTAATTCTTGAGTTGGTTTGTTACTTTTTATCATTTCTGTTTAATTTTTCCACCTGATTCTAGCCATCATGCATGTTTTATGAGTTTGATTAAAAAGAAAAGGTTTTCAGAATAACATGCCATCTTGAGAAAGTCCTAAAATAGTCGTATCTTTCCTGAATTTTGATTAAATGTGCTGTGACAACAGTAGCAGGAGTCTATTCCACATGAAAACCAGAGATCCCTTAGGGACCTCAACAAGTGATCCAAAAGACATAAATAAATGACTCAAAACTCCTGAGGAGCAGGATTATCTGGTTATTACAGTAACTATCATTTTCTTTTCTCACAGAGGCTCAACAAAGTATAGGAGGCTCAACACGCATGTCTCTGCTAATTCTGGCATCAATATTTGCGTGCTCGGCCTCAGTCATGTACTTGGTCTACAGGAACTTCCCAGAACTTCAAGAGTAAGTTGCTGTTTGGTGTCGCTAATTTTAAACGGGTTATATGTGTGTGTGTGTGGGTGTGTGGGGGGGGGCAGCAATAGATTTACCTTTTAGAGCGAGTCACTATTAGTAATAATAATACTCTATTGCTTTAATGCTTTACTGTTGAATACAATCAATTAATTCTAGTTGAGAGGTTTGCTTTCACTGACACAGAAATAATCTTTTGATTGAAATGCTCAGTCCTTTTTTTCCTGACCACCTGACCATTGTGTAAATGAGTTTTAAAAGAGCTTCAGATTTAATATGAAATTTTACTAATAACATGATCAGACTTCGTTTACACTGGGGAAATAATAGGGAAAACGTAAAGCTCTAGTATGACACAGAATGTGACTTCTGACTGCATGTAAGTGGTCCCACAGCTCCACCAGCATTCCTCAGAATTCTTTATTTTTCTTCATATGTTTTTAGATGTTATTGTCTAGTTTTTAAAACAGTACAACATTGACCATTCCTTAAAAACAAAACATTCTTATTCCAAAAATAACATCCAACAACACAAAACAGTAAAATAACAGACAACTGCCATAGCAGTTAACATTTACAATATTCACAAAACACATATTTAAAAAAAAATATGTTCATTAATTTATTCTTTGAAGCCATCTAGTATGACACAGAATGAAACACTCTTCACAATGGGTCATGACTAAGTGGTCAGCCACTAACACCAACTGGCCTATGAGGTCTCACTCATAGGGTCGTGTATTTCCAGCCCAACCACGAGAAAACTTTACAAATCATATCCGCAGATGTTAAATGTTCTTACAGTATTTTGTTAATTGTTGAACTAGAAAAATATTACCCTAAGTAGTAAAAAGAACAAAACGGTAGAGATGAAGCTTCATCGTATCTACCTCTACCAGCATTTCTCAGAATTTTGGTGGGGAAGCAGTGAGAGTGCCTGAAGGACCCGTTGCATGCAGTTACTCATCACACCACTAGGTGGTTTTAAACATGCGCATCAATTAAAAATCTCATTATAAATTCATACTATTATTATTATTATTATCATTATTTTGGGTAAAATTCACATACACAGATATACACCCTTTTCTCTCTGTTATATATAACTGCATCACACTTTATTAAGTCATACTTACTCACCTTTTACTTTCACCTCAAAACTAGAGGGTTTAAAACATGTCACGTTAAGAGGAGTAGCAATGCTAAAGGAAGGACTCTGCAGTTTATCTGATAATACGTGATTAGAATTTTATGCTTTATTTTCTGAATTGCAATTGTCTTTTTTTTAATACAGTGATGAAATGGAAAAAATCAAGATCCCTAAAGACATGGATGACGCCAAAGCTTTAGGAACAGTGTTGTCCAAATATAAGGACACCTACTACACCCAGGTGTTGGTAGCATATTTTGCAACATATATTTTGTATCCTTAAGTAGAAAAAAAATTCCTTTTTGACTAATGAATTATTTTTTTTTTTGGCATTTAATCATTAATTTTGATTCAGTTTTATTTTGAACTTGGTGTAATATTGTTAGGCATGGCTGTTCTCTGATTCCCCTCTCCCCCCCCCCCACTATTGCTTTCACTGTATAGAAAGTGTTTCAATGTGTTTGTAAAGTTGTTCACCTTAACACTTGAGTCAGCCTCCAGACGTTTGCTATCCCTGGATCAATCTTCCTCAGCATCCTGTCTGGCTACCTTTACCCTTTCCCTTTGGCTCTTTTCTTAGTCTGCTTGGTGAGTAGAAAAGCTCTGGAAAATGAATTTCAAGTTATATAATATTTCTTTATTATATTTCTACAAAGTATTAATTGAACATAAAAATCCAATGGAGCATGCATTTTTTTCTTTTGTCAAGCAAAATATTTTTTCAGAAAGACTTATTAACATGGCTTCAATTTAAATTATAGAATATAACTAGTAAGATTAAACTTTGTTGCTGCTATACAGTCTTACTGAAACTTATTCTATTATTATTATTACAAAGTTTCTGACTTAGTTCAGCACATAAATGTGCCATTACTGGTTTTGTTTTCTCTGCTCGTCTTGCAACACTTTCAGTTGTCTATATTCTAATGATATGTGTGAAAAGTGTTTTGCAAAAAATTATTCATAAATGTGTTCATAGTAGCATAGTAGGGTTGTGGTTAGAGCGTGAAAACCTAAAACCCTCAGCATCATCTTTGGAACTTCTTGCTGTGGTTTCTAAATAACTACACAACTGCTACTTGATTTTAAGTCAGCCAACTATACAGCTCCTGGTTGGAGACAGACATTATTCTAATCTGTTGTTTATTTATTCATTTAAGGTTGTTTTTCAGTTTATGATTTTTAACTCATTATATGTAGCCTCTTTCCCATTTATGTTTTAATATGTTGTTATTTTTCTGTTCTTCTGGCAGTGTTCTGGACTTGGAGCTTCCTTCTGCTACCTGTTGTCATATCTGGTGGGCCGACCGGTGGTCTACAAATACCTCACAGAGCGAGCACAAAAATGGTCCCAGCAGGTAATAATTCATAATAATATTAACTTGTGCTTTTAGTGGAATTCTGAAGACATACAAACAAAGAGACACAAACTTAAAAAAACAAAGTTAAACTGAAATTTAATTTTTTTAAATTAATGACTGGTCTATGAATCAAGCAGTCATAGGTCTGGACAAATATAGTGAAGCTGTTGTGTTTTTTCTTCTTTCTCTTTATGTTGATCATACTGTGAATGTTTGAAAAGTGAAAATTTTTGTGGTAATGTTTTACCAAGGTAGGAATAAGTTTCTTCTTTTTTCTTTACTTGTTGGCAGGTTGACAAACATAGAGATCATTTAATCAATTACATCATCTTCCTGAGGATAACCCCCTTTCTTCCAAACTGGTTCATTAACATCACCTCTCCGGTCATCAACGTGCCTTTGGGGGTGTTCTTTGTCGGAACCTTCCTCGGTAACATCCTTTGTGCTTTCTATTTCATTGTCCTTTTGATGAGATCAGTTGTTCCTGACTCACTTGTGTTTACTCCGTCTGCTTGACAGGAGTGGCGCCACCATCCTTTGTAGCGATCAACGCTGGAACAACGCTGTACAAGCTCACCACAGCCGGCGAGGCCGTGTCCTGGAACTCCCTGGCCGTGCTGGGCATCCTCGCCGTTCTCTCCATCTTGCCCGTCTGCTTCCAGAAAAAGCTGCAGCAGAAACTCGAGTAGAACTCTTCGAACACCTCAGCATCTCCTTCGCCGACTGACCCTGCGGTTCCCTTTGCTCAGCTCAGGACCTCTGCCGTCGCACTGTAGCTGCGTTTGCGTCAGTCTCGTGCGCAGCTGCTGGGGTGCCATTTGTGGAGAAGTCATAACAAGCACTGACCACAAAATGCATGCTGTGGTGGACTTTGTTTTTTTTTTCATGCTAAGTAACATGTAAACTACTTCTGTGCAGAATCATTTTCTGACTAGTGTTGCTGATTCTGGCACAGTTTGTAAATAAGAAATTTGATTTATTTGTTTTTATTTAAGGCACTGCTTATTTTAAAAAAAAGATTCCAGACAGGTTCAGGTGCTATCGGTAGGATGCTTTCATGGTTTTGCTGCAGTGCACGGGTTGTTAGTCTGTCTGCAGCAGAGCAATTAATATTTTATTTAAACTGTAGTGAACATCCACCTTTAAAGTCACCAGAGCAATGGTTGCCTATCTCTAGCCAAATAACAACTTCCAAATGGTCAAGTCTTTAATTCTATTAATATTTATTTGAACATTTTCGTGTCTGGTTTTATCTCATTTATCTGTACCACCACAGCAATAATGTTACACTGTTCTATTTTAATTTTTTTTTTTGAATGCCTCATGTTTTGAGGTTAAAATGGATGTTCTAACTAAAATTGTGCCTGAATTCACTGCCACACTGTTTTCTTTGTGACTTCTATGTTAACATAAGCAGCCTAAAGAAGGACTTTACTTTTTTTCCCCTGACATGCTCGAAGTTAATGTTTCATTTCCTGAGAAGATTTCCAGGGATTGTTACACTTCTGCTATCTTAAACTTATTCAAAGTAAATATTAATGAGAGGGGGTTAAGAGGGCTGTATTTGTGTGCTTAAAAACACTGTGGACTTTGAAAATGGAACTTATGCATTTGGTGAGGGAAATAAATAAATCATGATGAATGCAATCTTATTAAATTTTTCTATATAGACTTCTAACTTCATATTTCTCCCAAATTTTGATTGAACTAAAAAAAAAAAAAAAATAGCACAGCGATGTAAACCAGCCCCAGACTAAATATTTATTTGTTCTTAATGGTATTTTCTTCCTAAAAACTAAGATAATTTTTTGTCATCCCTTTTCATTTAATTAAATTGCAGTATTATCCTGTGCCGAGTAGTGAAGTCCTTCTGTTTCTGTAACAAACGGATAAGTTTCTTTATGTCCAGACTAAGCTTTTTTTTAAATCACCAATTACAATGTTTTTACTTTGCAATTAATGTGTCTGTAAGAAGAGCATGTTACTTCTTTTGTAGATGCTTGATGTTGAATTTCTCAAGTATGAGGTTTTAATGGATGGGTTATTTTATTGCATTTTTTGTGTTCATAAAACATCACGTTCTCTTGAATGACAACGTTCCTCTTTCACATGTTTGCTTTACTTCAAAAAAAAAAAAAACTTTAACTAGAGCAAGAGATTTCATACAACTAAAGTGTGAATAGTGCCACCAAGTGGTGATGATTGGCTATTCAGGTCATTCTTTCGTATTCAAGTTGATTGGCAGAGCTTTTAGGAGGGATTTGGGATTTCTAAAAAATTTGGCGACCGACATTTTCAGTTTTTTTTAAATCGATCTTACGAAAATGTACAGATCAGAGCCCTGTCCTACGCAGCACAAATCATTTAGTCCTATGTCGAGATATTTTAGAAAACGACTAAATAACTTTACACTTTAAAATGTGCAATAAGAAGGCCTGCATCTGTATATCAACAACCCTTTGTAAGAACATTTGTTGGAGACAGTTTCTCATGCAAATTAAGTATGTCTGTTAATTTAGAAGCTAATGGTTGAAATCTAATTCAATTCTCATTTTAAAGCTTGTGCCAATTTTAAGAGCCCAATAAAGCGGATTTGAATTGGTTCCTTAGAGCGTTTAACTTGAAGGGCGTTTTATTTTGAAGGAGTCGTGAGCGGATGTGTTGCGGGTCGGCTGTGCCTACTGCGGGTTCAGCAGCTAAATATGAGTGCAGATTTTCGAGCCTCGCAGTAGCGTCTCGCACGTAATGGCCAGGAGAACTCACTTCTCCGAGCTACTCTAATATGCTCGGTGTTCCAGGTGTGAGCGCATTACCGGACCAGTCTCAGAATGACCACCGGCTTCAGCTCCGGTTCCTCCCGGTTCGCAGATTATTTTGTGATCTGCGGACTCGACACCGAAAGCGGGCTGGAACCCGACGAACTGTCCGGTAAGCCTATTAGCCGTTGGGATAAAATGTGTTGATGCCGGGCGAAATAAGGACAAACTCCACTGTTAAACGTGTGTTTATATTTTTTTCCTTTTGGGGCTCGTTGTTTTCTCTGGTACTCACTTGTTTATTTGTGTGTTTTTGAGATGTAATGTCGGCTTTTGAGGTGAAAGCGGACGGAGTATGATAACGCTGGGCCTAGTTTACCTTCCCTCCGCCTGTTTGTTTGGAACGCTCGTTCAGGATCGACGGGATTACTGACTGGGTTATTCCTCTTTATCTCATTTTAATTCAGTGGTTTGTCCTTAACCTCTTCTCTGTCCGTGTTGGGGTGTGTTGTGAAAAACATTTAAGGTGGAAAAACACTCAGCTTTAAATGCACTTTAGAGGCGAGTCCGTGTCTTTACCAGTTATGTGCCTGTTATAATTATGTAAAGAGAATGCATGAAAATAGTCATGCACATATGATGTAGTTCAGACTGTCAGATGCCCCCCAAACAATACCAGCGTCCACCAGAGACATGCTGTACTTGTAACATTTTAAAAGGGCACACCCTTTAATTCAAAAACAATGACATAAATAGCTTAAATGCCTAATCTTAGCACAATAGTACATCACCCCCTCCCACCCCAATATTCTTTTTTTTTTTTTTTCGCCAGCAAAAGTATTGTGTTTGAAAGAGACCCCTGCAGCATATAGTTTGGGAGCTGAAGTGATAGGAATCAAGTAATTGAGACTTTCAAGGGAAAATCTTCAGCCCGGCCTCCCACTGTGAAGAAGATTTGATGGCATTTGTTATGCTGTGGGGGAGACACTTTGCTGCCATGGCAAGTGATGAGTTTAAATCCAACGATGAAGTGTGAGGTGAGTGGCCAACACTCACATCAGTGATCGGCACATTGGCGGGTGATGAGCAGGACTGTGATGTCAGGGCAGGCATGTGGTATTAAATCACCAGATCTCAGCTCAGCTGACATTCAGGACTGATGATTGCCACCGAAATCAAAACACAAACTGACAATGAAACAGACCGGAAGCACTGTTGGTGCTTTAGACAACATCTGTGCTAGTGTGCAGCAACAAATTTACTTAAACATTTTGAACACAACGGTACTTTTGACGTAACAAGTCTAATAACTTTTCAAATTTAAATGCAGCTCTTTATATTTTTTAACAGTCTGCTTTGGGAAGATTTTAGGTCTGTTAATTTCCTTTAAGGGTTTTTGCTGTTTTATAACGTTAAGCTTTGTAAGACGTACCAAACTTATTGGTACTAATGTCAGGGTTTTCCATTCTAAAACCAGTGTTAACAGTACTTAATGGGGAAAACCTGAATGCTGAAGAACTAAAAACCGGTCTGGTGACCTCAGATTATATCTTTAAGATTATATATGCGTTCAAATGTCCCATTATGCTTATTAATACTGAAACTTCCTGTTCTGGTTTGTAAAAACGACTCTTTTCAACTTAAAACGGGTAACAACTGGTTACCCACTTTTAGCACCTTAAAAAAAGTGCTAAAAGTAAAAGTATAATTTCCCAATTATTCAAAGTTTAATTGGGCAACCTTGAATATTTTGCTGTCTGAAAACAGGAACCAATTACAATTTTGGAAATTTTTCTGTTATCTTGTTTCTGTCTCTTGCAAGTGTGATTTATTGTGACTCATCAGGTAGTGAAAGGCCTGTGCGGCTGCTGTAGCTGAAAGAAACTTCTTCCCTCCTTAAAGGGATAACCGCACCAAAAATCTTTTTAGTTGTCTAAGGGTAATGTGCTTCTCCTTTTTACTTCCTTTCTCAAGTTCCTGTTTAGAGCTTTAAGGACAAATTTGCTGAGTTTATAGGATGAAATAAAACTTAAGAGCATGCAGTCTCCTTTTTGTAACCAGGCGCTTTGGTTACCCTGATTCTAAAATGTCATCCTTGATAATAGTGGATGAAATTTTAATAAGAAAAATGCCCCATACCATTTTCAAGACCACAGAAACATTTTTTAAAAGAACAGAAATCTTTCAAGAAAACGCCCCCAGAAGCATACAACTAAAAACAGCATAGAGATATTGATGCTACCTTTACTGGAGTAAGACCAATGAACCATGAACAGAAGGCAATTTAGCACTCATGTAGAAAAGAAAAATATAAGTTGAAATGTTGCTTTCCTGTTAAGCAATATATTAAACACACTCTTCATAAAAGTATGTATGTTGAATTCAGGTAAACAGTCTATTGGAAATACCTTTTTTGTTATGAAATAAGCATAGATGTGGCCCAGGCAAAACATGTTTACAGTGTAGAAAAATCCAGTCTGTTCAAATGAATGAATGAAACTTTATTAATCCTACTGGGAAATTCACAAAGTATTTAGCAGCAGACCTGTTCAGTTTCTGGTCATTTTTGCACCTTTAGTTTTTTTTTATGATCAACGATCAACTTGAGTAAGCTAGATTCATAAAAAAGTCAGCTTGCCATGGGTTCTGACTGGTTTCCGCTCACCGTTGTTGACACATTGTCATTTTAACATCAGTGAGTTGTCAAAATTTAAATAGAAAGCTTGATACCGCCATACTACTTTAGTTCATGCAAGAGCTTTACGTAGCTTCTCACATTCGTCTTAAACAACGGAGCTTCTGTATTTAAGACGCTTCACTTTTCTGACCACTGATCAGTTTTGAAGTTCTTCTGGTCTGCTTGTCTTCTGTCTTTATTTAAGTTGACTTTAAATTTAACGTTCATTATAATTGATTATTTATTCAACACAGTTAAAGACAAATCTAGTGGGTTTTTTTTCCCCATTAAGCAAAAACAATAAGCTTTGTGGTCGTAACAAAATGATCTATGAAATATGTGTGGGCAGAAGAAATACGGTATTGGGATTCCTGTTTTTCAGGATATTCTTTAGTGTGACTAAAAAAAAAATGAAGATGCAATTACTTTTTTTTTATTGTGGTTGATCACATCAAAGTTGTTTTTTTTTAATGGTTAGTAGATGGCAGCAGGAACTGTGTGTCAGACATTTACAGAATCATTTTTACAGGTTCCTAAAAATGTACCTTAGTGTCACTGTGGATGATTTTTTTTTATCATGCTTTTAAAAATTACCTTTGAAAAAAAAAGTTGACTTCATTGCATAGGAAGTGGATGTTTTACCCCAGGTGTGATAACACTTCTTTTAAGTCTCTGTGCAGAGACAGAAAATGCAACCCACCGAAACCTTGCTCAGACGCACAGCCTGGAGCTTTGAGGTCAAACATCTCTGATGTTCTACTTACAGCCTTTTGCTGTTGTTTACTGTAGAAAGAGGTTAGGGGCTTGCCCTTATCAACTGTTTCAGTTATGACTTGAAGAAAGGAAATGGTGTGGAAATTCCATTGTCACTGGCTGCAGATAAACATTTGTTGGAGGTATGCTGTTCCTAGAAGTTCTCATTTTTGCCAAGTCAGGAATAAATAAATGGTGTTGAAAGAAGGTTTCATTGCTTCAGGTTTCAGTTTGTCAGCTGCAGTGGATTAGATTTTTTTTGACAAGAGCTGCATGTAGTTTTTCAGAATGCGTGTGAAAAAAATACTCAGAATGTTCATAAATGCTGTAGTTTTTCTGTTATCTCTAATAAGCTTGCCTGAGTCAGTTGGATGGAAATGCAAAGAGGGGATTTCTGTAGTTGGTTGCTTATGAAAAGTCAAGTCTGCAACCTTGAGTTGTTTTGGACACGATTAGAGATGAACCAGTCAATCAGCCAAAGACGAGAATTGGCCATTTTTTCTCTGATTGACTCTAATGTGTGGTCAACGGGTAAAACACTGTAAAGTCCCACAGTTTTATTCTGCTACTCAGTACATGTTTCAAAACTAAGAACTTTGACCAGATTTCAAGAAATGCTGAAGAAATACATATTTTTTGATGCAGAAACAGGGAATCTTATAATTCTGATTAGTTTTTTAGGATCAGATTCATAGACTTTGTTCTATTAAGGAAAACCCTGTTATTAATCTGTTATTCCGAAAGATTTAACTGAGTTTAGGTTGCTGACTTGGCTGAAACAAACTGCTGGCTGGTGATTGATGCTGTGAATGAAATAAGCATTCTCTTTCTGTTGGGTTTTCTCCAGGGAATTAAATGAAACTCTTTGTGATTTTTTTTTCTTAATATGATGTGAAGAGTTAACTCGTGTACAGTGGAGGAAAAAAAAACGACAAAGAAATGGATTCAAAAAATGTCTTTCTGCTCTGTGTTTGGCAGCACACTTGGGACTTGATTTGCATATGTATGACCCTGCGGCCTCTCAGCGACACTGGAAACAGCAGGAACTGAGGGACATGAGTAAACTGTGGACAGGCTCTCTTTATTCAGATGCTAAATATCCTTTTAAATTTTCTGGGCTGCCTCTCTTCAACCCTTCTCTGCAAACAAATGAGGACGAATGGTTCACCTCGAAAGCTTGCTCAGTTTCATTGATAATTTTTCCTCAGAGGGCTTGGTAAGCAGTTCAGGGATTTTGACAATCTACCTAGTTTTTTTTTTTTCTTCTTCTTCTTCTTCTTCTTTAGGTTAAATATGATGGCAGTTTGCTGCTGTGTACCTTATTAGTTTAGTGCAATAAGGTGCAGGACCTCAGATGTACTTTTGAGAAGCAGTTCCCCAAAATGTTGGTTTCTTACTTATGTTGCCTTCCCATCTTGGACACTTTCCCCGCACCCCCTGAGTGAAATTTCACTTTTAAATGTGAAGTGTTCAAGTGGATCACATGAACTTCTTGGCTTGAAATTGTCATTTATCGAAAATATAGAATGTGACGGACAACGTTTGCCAGCCTCTTGTAGTGCTGGTTGATGGGATGTTGAAGCGGTTTTCCTGCAGTGGGAGAACATTTTTCAAATGTTTTGATAAGGGCTAGATGATGTGGCCTAAATTTAGCACCACTATATAGTTTGCATTTATTTGCAATGTACAATAGCTACTGCAAAAATGTAAATCTTGAAATTCAGATCCGTTTCATGTTTAGTCTCTGTTGGGACTGAAGTGTGAAGGTTACAAACTGAAGAAGGGAGTAGCTGAAGCTCAGAGCTCTGGTCATTGATATTTTTTTTCTTTTACATGTTGGCATTTATTTCATGCTGTTCTGCAGGAAGTTGGGTTGGGTTGAGTTCTTCTTGAATACAACTTCACAGGAAGTGAGGTCCATCCCTTTTCTGGTGATCCTCTCTTCAGTAGGCGTAAGCGTGTCGGAGCACAGAAGGACCGTAGAACTGTGGGTGGTCTCTGGCTCGTCATCTGATCACTGCTGCTTCACTGCTCCCACCGATATCCATTTACGTTCTCATTGCATCATAGATATTTTGAATAAGTGACAAAACAAAGAATTATGTGAGCTTTATTGGTGTAATTAGAAATTCATGTCATATTGGGGTCTTTTCTTGCTGTGGCAGATGGCGTTTGATTGATTGTGAGGTAAGGAGATGTCATATGTTATAGTTTTATGATAATCATAAGACTTGATAAGCTTGAAAATTTACTAAAGAATGTATAAAAAATAAATATTTTGAAATGCAATGGAAAAGGCTAGATCTGCTGATTAGTTTCTTTTCTTAGAATCCATCCTTTATTCTGCCATACAAAATTAAGACAAATGGTTCAGAGATTTTTTTCTTCTCTTTTTTCTCAAACGCAAACAGCGATTCCAATAATAATCAAACAAATATATATTATAACTAAAAGAGTTCTGTAGTGAGCAGGTTTTGCTGCTGTCGGCAGTTTTATTTAGTACAGACAACTTCAGGATTGGATCATTTTAATAAGATTTTTTTTATTTGTAAACTTTCACATTGATGAAAGCTGAAAGCGCTGAGCACTTAATTAGTCAGTGCTTGTATCGCCAACCAAAATATAAAATGTTTTTATATTTTACTATAATTACTAAAGTCCGTCTCTTTAGTAATTTGTACGTTTTTTTTGTTTGTTTTTTTACTTTTTTTACCGCTTGTACAAAAGAAAAGGTCCAAATTAGACCACAAATCTTGTTTAAGAAAATTTTACAGACCATTCTTCCCTATGTAATCAGACAGCAGATTTGCAATAACACAAATCTGCTGTCTGATTTGTTTTACCTCGTTTTTTTTTTTATGTTCTCAAATTGAGAACATAAAATTTGAGAACATCTTTAAGGATTTTTTTTTAAATCTTACAAGGTAGAAAGGAATGTTTTGTATCAACTTCCTCTGTTTTGCTGCTGATGATGTGGACTCAGATAAAGGCCTCCCCAGGTTTCACAATCAGTAAACTTTGCTTTTTGAGTACAAAGTTCAGCCTTTTTGTGTATTCCTCTCTGCCCCTCTAAAAGTTGTGGTTATGACTGTGCTCTGATTTTGGCACATTTATCACCAAAAAACCCAATTATGTTCTTCAGAATTGCATATTAAATATTTTTTTACATTTGACTGCTCTACATATATATATATATATATATATATATATATATATATATATATATATATATATATATATATATATATATATATATATTGTAATAAACCCCAATGACTCAACTGCTTGATTATGTCAAATTGCTCCATTTTGAGTTGCAGATAAGTCATTGCTCTCAGTTACGAACATCGCTCCATGGTATTTTTTGAGGCGCTGTGAGTTTGCATTAAAGCCAGTTGAAAGATTGTCAGTTTGAGCCCTTGCTCGGCCACGTCTCAGAGTGTCCTTTGGCGAGAAAACAAACCCCTCGCTGACCTCAAAATGATTATCGGAGGGAAAAACTCTTGCGTAGTTGAACTTCGCCTTCACAGGATTTAAATAGTTTACTCCAAACATATAGAGAATGTAGGTTTTTGTGGTGCCGTTTGGATTCCATTTCTACATATTTCTATTAAAGATAGTACAATTTCAGGGTGCTATCATTATTAAGAAGAACGTTAACTGGAGGCAATTTATTTTTCTTTCTGATGTTTTAGTCTTAGTAATCCAGCTGTCTGGTTGCTGTTGTAGTCTGGGTTGTGTGCCTGGCCTACTTTCGACTGTGTCGGTTGTTTGGATATGAAAGCATCAAACAGATTAAGCCAAACTCTTAAGATTTTCAGGCAGTCACTAGGATATCTTCAACAGTACCAAAGAACCCAACATAAAAGTCAGTTGGCGGTCATTGACAGTATTTTAACCGAATCACTAAAAGGTGATGGCTGTGTTTGTAAATTGATACAGCTTGGGTCAAATGTCATCCACATTTGTTGTAAGACACCATAAAAATGGACCAAATCTGTTATTCTAAAGTCATTTTGAATCAGTATGCATCAGAGGAGGATCACCTCCCCACACATGAGGAAACTGATCATTTCTTGGCTTTGTGAAAGGCATCATTTAATAAATGTAATAAAAAATGATTTCCTTTGTCTCATGGAAAAGGCCTCACTTCTCATTGGCAACATTATACTGAAGCTTTACTTCAGTGCTGACATAGGGGAGCCAGAAAAGCTTGGACAGCATGTGTTCCTCGTCTCACGTTTTTGTACTTTATGTGCTGCATGAAAGTGGTTTTGTGCTGGCAGAGATTTTTCATTACTTCTTAGCAAATGTGATGCATCAGAGGGGCTGTAAACAGCATTGCCTGGCTGCTTGCAAAGAGTACAAAGGGTTTTCTTTATGTGAAATGTTAGATAATCTAACGTAGCCACAGGGCTGAGATGCAAGTGCAGTCATTCACCATTTTCCAACACATGACCGCCTGCTGACGACGTCCACAATAAATGTTAGAATTAATACTAAGAAGAATACTTTGGGATTTTGTGTTTGTATTTAGGCACACAGATGAACACAGGTTCATCTCACTGAATAAGGATATCTTTATAGATTTTAAAGGAAAACTTGATGTTGTATCTCGTCCAAAAGTTATTGCTGATGCTGAAAGCTGTGGGCAGGACGTATCTGATGTTGCAGACTTTGTTCCAGGACTTCTGATGAAACCTCTGACTGAAGATGCTCTGTTATAAAATAGTGTCAGCAATTTCTCCGTAAACTAGAATATAACATCAGACCACTTGAAAACCTATTACACGAAGATGTGGCATTGTGCAGTCTGTTTCTTCAGTAGTAGGTTGGGGCTCCTTTTATATGAGTTACTGCATCAATGCTGTGAGTCATGGAGGTGATCAGCCTGTTGCTCTGCTGAAGAAATAAGAAAACCCAAATTTCTTTTATAACCGTCTTCAGCTCATCTACATTGTTTGGTCTGGTGTTCTTTCGCCAATGCCCTGTAGATTTTCTGCAGGGTTTACGTCAGGCTAATCTCCTGTCCAATCAAACGACATTATGAATGATGAATGGACCTAACATCATAATTCTCTATGCTACTGTTAACTCAATAGCTTATGTTTTTTTTTAATTCTTTTTTTAGTCTCATGCTTTCTCCTGCCATCAGTACCCTTTGATGCAGCACTCCCTGAACTCTTTTATTTTCCATTCATTTTTAATGGTGTTACCTGAGGTCATGTTTTGTGAAAATGAATTTTGTGTTTTCATTTGCTGGGAGTCAAAAACATTCTAAATATGTCACTCTGTGTGAACTATATCAGCATAAACGTCACATTTTGATTACTGAAACAAGAACATTTTTTGATGATCAAATTTACTGAGATGCAACAGTTGTGCTCAACTGTTGCATCTCAGTAAAGGTTTTGTTTGTTTTCACAATTCTCTTAAACATATAGTAAAACGTGTTGTATGTATCATGTAGTGTGCTAAGTTGCTTGATCTTATTCTATAGTTCGGTAAATATGAGAATCTGTCATTTACTTCCAGCTTGTAAGCAGTTTATTTCACTCAGGTTTACATTTAGCTCAGAAGATTTTTCTCTGTAATCACACTGCTAGTACAACTGGTTCTGTTCCTCTGTGTTTGAGTTGAGAACATCAGTCCATGCTGCAGCAGTGTGTTCACACTGTATCGCTAGGAGGCCCCAATAACATTCAGAACTGCTTTGTTCTTATCATAACCCCGGCAGCTGGCTTGACTCGGCATTCCCACCTGACACTGGCGGATGCTGTTCTCCATGTGTATTTTGTACTTTTAAAAAAATTTTTCTTCTTAGACTGAAGCGCTAAAAGTAGAGTTGTGAGAATGTGTATGCACAAACTGAGAAGTGATGCGCTACCCAGCAAGAACCAGGCTTGTAATTATCTTTTTTTATTTATTTGTTGTGTAGCTTTATGCCAGTATATAGAGGATACTAAATTCAGAGATGGGGCCAGAGGAAAATTGGCGAGGTCAAACGAAGGTAACCGTTCCCACCACACACACTGCTTTTTTTTTCTTCTCCCTCTCCCAACCAGAGCTTAGCTTTGACCCCCTTTAACCTTCAACCTTGATGCACCTTGTTATCACCCACCTGTCCCCCTTCTGCATCCCCTCCTTTTTTTTTTTTTTTTTGAAACCCCCACAGTCTGGGATGGATTTTTTTCCTTTCCTGTTTTGTGCACCCCTAATTTCTCCCCCCCTGGTTTCGTGTCCCTCCTCTCCTCCAGTAGCAGCTGAACGAGGAGCTGATGTCTGACAATCACCGCTTCTGTATCTCGCAAACACATCCAGTGTCGCCTGCACTGGCATCGCTTGGTCAATGTTTATTCTCCCCCACCTACCCCCCCTTACACTCTGAATGACTTTTCAGTGCTGCCTTGGTGTGTGCATCACTTCTGCTTTATTCTGGGTCTAAATCAACTCAACTTGTGCTTCTCTGACTGATTTACTCTGTGTCCCTCTGTACTGCCATTAAAGCTGTCGTGAAGCATTTAGATCCACAAAGTTTCACTTTTCACAAGATGCAGCTGGTAATTTGTTTACTTTTTCGGGCACAGGATGCAGATGGCAGCTTTACATGATGCAATACAAACTTCCTCTAAAGACAAACGTATTGATTTTTTTTTTTCTCTTTCCCTTGGTGATGCGCCTGGCACTTAAAGCTTGCTTCTGAGTAAACTGCAGCTTTTTTCCCCCAGTGTCTGCATGTGATAAACCAACTAACTAATTTCATACTTGTCTGTTTTTGTTTTTGTTTTGTTTTTTTGCGTTTCTCTGTCCTTTTGACTTCCAGGTGAGAATTTTGAGCAGAGTCCGTTGCGGAGAACTTTTAAATCCAAAGTCCTAGCACATTATCCTGACAATGTTGAGTGGAATCCATTCGACCAGGATGCAGTTGGCATGGTATGATTTTTTTGTGTTTGACAAACATGTAATGATTGTTCACAGTAAAAACACATAATCTTACCAAAGTATTGTAAGTAAGTAAGTAAATTTTGTCGTATCTCAAGTGTACCAACATATTTCCAGTAGAAACTAGACCAAAATGCTTGGTATGATTTTGTGTTTTTGCAGTGTTGCTAAGGTTAAGTATTATTTCCCACATTATCTCTGATTTCTTTTCTGCACCTCCTCTTCCAGCTCTGCATGCCGAAGGGTCTGTCCTTCAGGACGCAGGTTGACTCCAGAGAGCCGCAGTTCCACTCGTTCATCATCACCAGAGAGGACGGCTCGCGGACCTACGGCTTCGCCCTCACTTTCTTCGAGGAGGTGACCAGCAAGCAGATATGCAGTGCAATGCAGACTCTTTACCACATGCACAACGCAGAGCAGTACGACATCTTGCACACCCAAACAACCCCGCACGGACCGGAGGACCAGCGCCTCCCGCAGCCCCGCCCTGTGCTCCATGCCGCTCCGGCCATCTCCCGTCTGCAGCGCTTCAACTCGTACGACATCAGCCGCGACACGCTGTACGTGTCCAAATGCATCTGCCTGATCACGCCCATGGCTTTTGCCCAGGCCTGCAGAAAGGTGCTGGAGCAACTTCACCAGGCCGTCACGTCCCCCCAAGCTCCCCCGCTCCCGCTGGAGAGCTACATCTACAACATTCTGTATGAGGTGCCTCTCCCGCCATCGGGGCGTTCACTCAAGTTCTCGGGCGTCTACGGTCCTGTTGTGTGCCAGAGGCCAAGCACGTCCGAGCTCCCGCTCTTTGACTTTGCCATCAGTGAAATGTTCAATCTGCTCGGAGTGGAGAACGTTCTACAGCTGTTCACCTGCGCCCTGCTTGAGCTGCAGATCCTCCTCTACTCACAGCGTGAGTCTCACTCTCCTGTTTCATTCAGTTCTTTCATACATCTTTTAAACAGTCGTGCGAGATTTGCAGTACATATGACTGGTTAACAATGCAACCAACATTAAACTAATTAATATGCTAATATTCTGAAGTATACTTCAGAAAACTAAAACTTCTCTTGATATGAAAACGGGGAAAGAAAAGCTACGAATGAAGATCTAATAGTTTTTAAGTTTATCTTGTAAGCAGAGGTCTCTGTGGCTGATAGATCCACTCTTATCTGTGTGTAGTTAGCCTCCCAAAAGTATTCACACCCTTGGAACTTTTTCACACAGCAACTAGAAGCTTAAATATCTTGATTCAGTTTGTATGAGATAGACCAATTTTTAATTACAAATAACAAAAAACCTTTGAAGTTGAATTCTAAGAAAATAAAATATTGGAATCTTTGAACTTCATCCTCTGTGTTCAATACACCTTCTGAAAATGGGAAGAGTGTGTCACAGCTGCACACCTATCAATACATAAAGGTCGACAAGCCAAAGGTTCAGTGGAGTAGTTTGGATCCAAGGAAATGAAAGTATTATTCTGGCCCAGTCAAAGTCCAGAAATTCAATTGAGAATTGATGGGAAGATGAGAGTAGATGCTCACAGGCATGTCTCAGTCTATCTAAGATAAGATAATTTATTAGTCTCCTAAAGGAGAAATGTGTCTAGGAATATAAGAACAACACATCCAAAAAGGACAATAGCAATAAATAAATACGCAAAAGCAAAAATGCATAAAAACACAAATGTCATATTGGCAGTACATCCCCATAACCATTTCCATTCACATATAATACATCCTTTACACGCTACTCTCGATCACCATCTGGGCCTCCTATCACTCTGTCCTCTCGTCTGCCAGATCTGAATGATCATAAGCTGTTTTACGAAGAAGAACGGGTCAAAGTTTGGTCTCCAGATGTGCGCAGCCATTGCGTGTTACTCACACATCCAAGCTGCAGCCTGGGGATCTTCCGGCAACAAGAAAATTAGCTACGCGCTTGAATAATTATCCTGAAGATAGAGATGCTTTGCAAATACAGAAACAATCAGAAGTGGTTGGAAGCAGATCTACACATCATAAGCCTGATCAAGAATAGAAATTAAACACTTTGTGTGTGGGTGTGTGTGTTATGGGTAAAACCTTGTAATGTTTTCTCTGTGAAGCTCGTTGTGTGGGGAACGAGCAACGGAGACAAGGAGACAAGGAGACATGCCTCCTGTTCACTTAAGCGGGCATACCCTCTATACAACCCCCTTTTTTTCTAATCTTTTTTTTTATTGAAAGCTATGTATTATTCCTCTTACTTTACATTTAGACACCACTTTTGTGTTGGTTTACCACATAAAATTCTAATAAAATGTACACAAGCTGATTTTGATGAAGGGTACTGTAAGTCACTTTGGAGCAGTTTCGTTCTTACCCTGTCTCACATGGAAAGGAAGCGAAATTATGTCTCTGAAGCCTGGGACAGACTTCAGGGAAACCTTAAGCTGACAGAGTGCAGGTGTTGGTTTCTACAGCTGGCGGACTGCTTTGCATGCTCTTCTTTCACAGTATTAACCACGTCAAGCAATCGTTCTCATCCATGACGAACTCAGAACGTCTGGATCGACAAAACTTTCACAATTAAATTAAAAAAGTATGTCATTCATCTTGAGACTTAAGTGTTGTAATGCCACAATATATCTTTATGTATTTCTTTTTGCTTTTGAATTTGCAGGAATCAGATTTCTATTTGTAATGATTTTATGAACAAAATTAGTCCTTGGAATTATGGAGAGCTGATCCCAGTCCACACTTATTTATCAACAGTTTAACTCTTGCGTTGCCTCATGAACAGAGGCTACATGTTTATTAAAGAAACTTTAGAGAAATTAGATCGCTAAAGGATGCTGGCTCTGGTGTCGCTACTGGATCCATTACAGTTGCGAGAGAGGCCAACGAGTGATTTACAAAACGGCGGGGGCTGAGAGGGAGAAGCTTTTAAAGGGGGAAAGCTGTCGTGTTGCCAGGCAACCCAGAGCCAGGGAAGGATGGTGATGATGCAGGATGATTATTATTGGTCGGGAGTGACATCATACCTCTCCTCAGCCCTGTGAGGCTCATCACTGCAGAACATGTGAAGGGTGTTGAGCCGCGTTGCAGCCTGGGGATCTTCCGGCGAGAAGAAAATTGGCTACGTGCTTGAATAATTACTCTGAGGAGAGAGATGTTCTGCGAACGCAGAAACAATCAGAAGCTGTTGTGTGTTGGGAATGGAGTCAGAAGCCTGATCAAGAGTAAAAATAACAACAAACACCTTTTTTTTGTTTGTTTTTGTTGTATGATGGGGGGGGGGGGACCTTGTCCTGTTTTCTGAGAAGCTCGTTGTGTGGGTTAGGAGCAACGGACAGGTCTTCATTTGTTTCTATTCCTGGGTATTTTCTGCCTGTATGTGATTCGTGCAGCTGAAAGTGACAGGATGGATTAGGAGAGAGCGTCTTGACGGGAAGATCTGACCCGACTAGGGATGTTTAACTTACACATCTATGCTCATTTCAGCCACAGCGATGAACATGACTACAGATGTTCTTCTGTCTGCACATTTGGAGTTTTCTGAAGCATGCAGGCTCCTGTTTTCTTTTTGATCATCTGCATGATTGTTTGGGAACGGGGTCATCATACTTTCCGGTTTCCAGAACAGAGGCCATTTAGCTACACACGAGTCCCTGTTTGTATGATGTTCATTTCTCCTGACATCTCTGAGGAGCGACAGGCTGATTGGACAGAATTATCCTGCGTTTCTCAAGGCCTGAGTATATCACCTTAGCGTTCTAATTCTTTTTTTTTTTCCCAATTAGAGAAAGATTAAAAAAAAAAAAACATCAAGTTGATCCATTTCTGCGGTTAAGGAAGCTGAGGTGTTGAAACTAATCCATTTGATGCTTTACAGTGTTTCCTGTCGCATCTGCACTGAGTGAGTAGTTAAAAGCAAACTCTTATCAGCCCTCATTTGGGTCAGCTGCAAAGTATTCGAGTCATGCAGCTTTTTAAGTAGTTTCTTGTTCTGATGGCCTACTTTAAAAGGGGATGGCTGATGTTAGTATTCTTGTCCCTATCCTGGGAAAGACGGCGTGCTTGAAGGGATGAGTGTTCCCCACTTATGGAGCAGCTCACAGCCAAATGTGGCCATGGCATTTATTCTGGCACCATAAGAGGAGAAGCAGTGCGGCTGCTGAATGCACAGTAGGTGTCGGCTGGGATTGAGCAGGAATGCAGATGAGGGACTGCACACATATTTGCTCACATGGCCATTGACTTAGGTGTGAAACCCTGAGCTGGGAGGAGTGTTGCAATGTGAAGTCACAGTGAAGGAATTTAAAGTTAGCCAGCAGGTCAGCTGGCTGCAGCTGTGTCACGCTTCAGTGTGTCTGTTCTCCTGGGGGCAAAGGGCACACACGCCTTACAGGAAGAAGAAACCAGAACTTGTGCCCAGCTTGTTAACAATCTGGAACATTTGGTTGGCAATAATAATGAATAGTAGAGACTCTGACTTATTCTACCCTAAAGGACAGTGTACTCGATGGCTGCCTGTAACTCACCTAATCCCTTAATTTAATTTTCTTTTGGTTGCTGATTTTTTTTTTGTAATCCCTTTGCTTTACATTTGTAAAAAAAAAAAAAAAAGTATTTTTTTTTTTCTTCCAAGATTTTCTTAATTTTCTCTTATTTGCGTAATCTACACCAGAGTGAAATAATGAAGTCATTAGCAGGACTCTGGAAAACTTCATTGCATACCAATAAGGAAATTCAGCCGTTTAATTCAGGTGTGTTTGACCAGGTACACCAGAGACAATCAGACCTGGAATTGAAGACCCATGATGCAGATATTGTCAGTCTGTCCTGAGGAGTAGCTCAGTCCAGTCATCATGATTCAGGAGTCAAGAGGTTGTGTGGTTATGATTGGCTATAGCAAAGATATGAATCAGGCTCTTCCTGGTCAATAACTATTTCAGGGTTTTTTTTCTTTTCTGTTTTTTTTTTCCTCTCAGGAAAGTGACGCATCAGGGAAAACTGCACTGCAAGTCCTTTGGCAGAGCAATTAGTTTTGAGTCACATAGAAAATTGCAATTTTTTTATTATTTTTTTCATTTTACTAAACCTCAAGTACTAAGTTGGATCAGCCGTACAGCCACACTCATTCAGTTGCTCAACAAAGACAGAAGCAACTTCCTGCCATGTCCTGTTTTTGCTCCTCAAAACTCCTGCTGCTCTAGGCTAATTTAAAACAGCCATCTTGTTTAAAAACAATTTCAAACACTTCTGTCATCAGTTTGTTTGGGCAAATAATAAATTAGCTGATTAAACTTTCTGATCGTCAGCTCATCAGCCTTATGATGTCCTTAGGCTTCTATTTTTTGTTGGACTTATTTTATATGAGAGCTTCATCATATTTAATTGGTAAATATATTAGTACATTTTAGTTAAAAATGTATGCATGTGGTCGATTTGGGTTTGGCTCAAATCAGACATGAAAACTGCCGCTAACTGTCCTCGATTGACCTCTGCTTTTTGTGAACCAGATTACCAGAGGCTGATGACGGTGGCGGAGAGCATCACAGCCTTGATGTTCCCCTTCCAGTGGCAGCATGTCTATGTTCCCATTCTGCCCGCTTCCCTCCTGCACTTCCTGGACGCTCCCGTACCGTATTTGATGGGCCTCCACTCCAACGGGCAGGATGACCGCACAAAGCTAGAGCTGCCACAGGAGGTACACAAAAAATAACATGCGCCCAAACACACGGTCATATCTAACAGTGTTTGAGTTTAATAAAAAATAGAAAGGTGTGCAAAGGAAGGCTTATTTTTCTGTGGATTTAAAAATAGAAGGCTGTCCTCACAGCTTCTCCTCTTCTCAACCCTCATCTGTCTTCTTTTTGAAGTTACTTTGAGGTATCTAGTTACTTGAGCTAATTGGACTCTGAGCCCATTTATATTTAACTTGCCTAGAGCATCAAGTATACCAGGATATTTCAAGCCAGTCAGCTTCCCAGCTTAGTTTTTCACCAGATGTCTCACTGTTTACACTCCTGCTTATTCATATAAGAGTTGAAGGCATAACCTAATGTCACAGATATAAATTCAGTTATAAGTTTCAACTCTGAAACCTTTAGCTCATGGCGTTTCAATTAACAAGAGGACTAGTTTAAATCATTATCAATTCAATGTGGGTTTTTCATGGTATTTCTAACTAAAATGATTTGTTTCCCCACGCCTAGGCTAACTTGTGTTTTGTGGACATTGATAATCACTTCATTGAACTGCCGGAGGAGTTGCCGCAGTTTCCCAACAAACTGGAGTTCATTCAGGAGATCTCCGAGGTTCTCATGTCGTTCGGCGTCTCTCCGGAGGGAAACATCCACTCCAGTGAGAGCCAGGGAAGATCCCGCTTCCGTTCTGTCGACATGGTCTCCGACAAGCGCAACGGCAACCTGGGGTCGCCCCTCACCTCCTACCTGCTCAGGGAGAACGAGACGATCGCCCGGCTGCAGGCGCTGGTCAAGAGAACAGGCGTGAGCCTGGAGAAGGTGAGAAGTGACGTCACCTAATGAATTAGAAATCGCCCGCTCAGATGCTCATTTAACATGTAGTGGGGGTTAATGTTTAATGGAGGAGTGACTCAACTAAAAGAACAGTACGACAGTCAAGTTACTTATTTAGCCAGTGGAAAATATATATAAACCATATATCAAGCAATAAGCCACTCCAGTACTTAATGTATTCAAATGTTGTTTTTTTATTTCATTAAAATATTTTAACAACTTTTAGCACTGCAGTCCTGCTTCATTGATTAATGTTCACACTCCTATTAGAGCAACACCAAATACATGATGCTTTTATCAATATTTACTTAAACCAGTTGGAGGTGAGAGATGATGCCAGCTGCAACAAAGATGCACGGACTCAATGCGATGAAGAAGAGCTGAAGATGCACCAGCTCAACATCCAAGTGCGCGAGGTCTTTGCCAACCGATTCACGCAGATGTTCGCCGATTACGAGGTGTTCGTCATCCAGCCGAGCCACGACAAAGAGTCCTGGTTCACCAATAGAGACCAGATGCAGAACTTTGACAAGGTGCGTTTTTTGTGGTGCAGTAAAAATGCAGAAACATTTAGATGGTGGGGTTTACACAAGCTCATAAATGCAGGGGCAAAAATGATTCAGTGACATGTAATTTTGAAACCTGCATGATTAGCACCATTTCATATCTTTGTGCAGGCCTCCTTCCTATCTGATCAACCAGAACCCTACCTGCCCTTCCTGTCACGTTTCCTGGAGACTCAGATGTTTGCCTCCTTCATCGATAGTAAGATTCTTTGTCATGACGATGAGGAGAAAGAACACACACTAAGGGTGTTCGATTCCCGTGTGGACAAGATCCGCATGCTGAACGTCCGTACTCCTACGCTGCGGACCTCCATGTACCAAAAATGCACCAACATCGAAGAAGCGGGTAAGAAGAGATCAGTTAGTTATCAGTTTAATATCAGTAATCCGTGTACGAGCGTGAGAATTTCTCGCCTCTTTGCAATGTAAGATTTTATGAATATAATTATGTAAATTGTAAAACTAGTTTAATATGAAGTCTACATTTCCAACCATCACAGATATTTGTTGTCATTCGCTGTCTTGTTTGCAGACGGGCCAATTAAAAAGCGCTTTGAAAAAACTGATTTTGTCGCTGCGGGACCACAAATCATTGGGCTGGAGAAAAACAAGACCAACCATCGTAATATTTGTTCTTGTCTGAAACATCCGTGGGTGGCAGGCAGCTCTTTAACTGTACTCAATTCATTCCATCTGTAAACTCAGAGGATGGGTCGGGCTCCTTTCTGATGCTGTATAAAAAATAGAAAACGAACTTCTGAAATGTCTTTGTTTTAATATATTAATATTATAGATGTTTGAATGTTGAAGGATTAACTTATTGATGATTTGTCCTTTTTGGGGTTACTGGATTACTTCTAACATATAATGAATGATGAAGTGCTTTTTATTTTTGGGAACTTGGCTTGTTTGCAACCTCAAACTCTTTACATTTCACTGATTTCAGGCTGTGTTCCTACACATTTTTTTTTTTCTCACTCTTTTCTGCTACAAGTCCTTTTCGCTAACTGACTGAAATATTCTTATTGACAGTGTGGGCGTGCTGTTGATCTGAAATCACTGTCGAACGCAGCAGTCATTTTACTTCCTTTGAGAGTAATGTCGATGCTCAGCTTTTGTTCTGATGCTTCTTCTGGTACTGTGGGTGTTGGGAGGAATTCTTTTTTTTTTTAATAAGATTTTCTTTGTTGACATGCCAACTTGTTGTTTTTACATTTTCAAATCTCTTTTTAAGATACAAGAATACAAAGAAAATCAAATAGTCGTAGACAGATGAATTGTGAGGAGAACAAAAGCAAAGAGAATTGCATTCACACAGTGAGACATTTGAAGTCAGGATAACAATATTTAATGTCTTTTGAATCTTTACTTGGATAATAGAAAAACTTAAAGCTTGTGTGCTAAGTTGATTCAGTATACAAAGAGTAATGCATTTCAAGTATTTTTTTTTAAATATGGCTTACAGAATGTTAAAAATCTAACATTATGAATTTCAGAAGATCACAATATTGTATTAGACAGCATATTAAAAAAATGCATATCGGATGCATACATGTACAGAACATGGACACACTTTTCAGTGAGTCAACTTTTCCGTAATACAATTTTTAAATTATTATTTTTAAGTCACAGTCAAAACATTTCAGACATCATTTTTGTGGAATAGAGTTATAAAAGTTCTACTTTATCAAGTAATTGTACTGACGTTAAAATTTAATTAGTACAAAGACTAAGCAATCTATAAAATAAGTTGCAGGATTTTAATTATAAATATGCAACAAATCCTCATTCGCAAACCAATTTAGCCCTCCAATCTAAATGCATGTTTTATTCATATCTGCAGAGAAAGCTATTGAGATGAGAGTGGCAAAGATTGACCACACCGCGCTGCACCCCCACCTGCTCGACATGAAGATTGGCCAGGGCCGCTACGAGCAGGGCTTCTTCCCCCGGCTGCAGTCGGACGTGCTCTCCACGGGGCCCACCAGCAACAAGTGAGCGTGCCTGAGCCGTTCTGCTCCTTTTGAAGTGACCTCTAAATCAGGTTGCCATTAAAAGCTAATCAAAGTGCTTTGTGCTGCAGATGGGCTAAGAGAAGTGCTCCGGCTCAGTGGAGGAGGAGAGACCGGCAGAAGCAACACGCTGAACACCTTTATCTGGACAATGACCAGAGAGAGGTGTGAGGCCCTCAAATGGGTTTCATAACTGGGTTTATTCAGTCTGTCTGCCTGAGCTCTGTTGAACTACTCTTTATGCCTGACTTCTTAACCTGCTTTATTTTTCACCTTTCTCCTGCCATCTTGTCTGCACTCCCGCCTCCTCTCACATATCTGCTTTTTTTCTTTCATTTTATAAATGTTTTCATTTATTTATTTATTTTTGTGTCTCTGTCTTTCTGCATTTCTTGCCCTCGCAATCTCGCACACTCTCAGCATGTAGAGTGTTTGTTTCCGGAGCCGCAGCTCCTGCTGTTTCTTGACTACTACTGGCTCTCGCAGTCCTTCAGGCCCTGTCTGAAGTCGGTGTCTGTGGACTTGGTATGTGATGGTAGACCACAGACCAGATGTGGAAGTCCACTCATATCTGCTTCTCTAACTTTCAGCAGCAGAGCTTTATCTGAACTTTTCATTTTAGTTACTATTGATATTTGTACCCCTTTTTTTTTTTTTTTTTTACTTCTTAAGCTTGTTTTTAAGATTTGTTGATCTTAAGTTTGATAGTCATGGAGTCTATTAACACAAGTATAGTAGCTATTGCACATTTTGTGTAAGATAAATATTAATACAACACCTGTAGGGTTTCCAGTGTAAAAGCTGGTTTTGAACTGATCCTGGTAAGTGTAATTGATTATTAGTTTCTAACATTTGCTTACTGAATTCTCACATCAGAAATACATCCAGGAAGCTCGAAACTTGGGCACCACCATCAGACAGCCTAAACTGTCCAACCTGTCGCCCTCTGTCATCGCTCAGACCAACTGGAAGTTTGTTGAAGGATTATTGAAAGAGTGCAGGAACAAGGTTTGTAATCTGTTGGCTTCCCATTTTTTCCACATATTTACCATTTCAATTATCTGTTATTTTCTTCAAAATCATTCAATAAAACCCTAAAGAATAAATACATTTATTTGATTATTACTTATTTAGCTCATATTGTAGGTTTTGTAAGTCCAAGTAAGCAGAGATTTATTCCTTTTCAAACTGTGAAATGTTTGTCAAATGTTTGTTCAGCTATGTTTTTGCTTGGATTTTTGTTTTGTTTTGAGTATATCCTTGGGTTTTACTGCTACACTTAAATGGATGTTGGTTTGAGGTTTAACAACAAACTCCTGGAATATTAGTTTGAATTCTCAGTATTGACATGAGTTTGTTCTTTTTTTATTTGTTTGTCTGAAGACAAAACGAATGCTGGTAGAGAAGATGGGTCGAGAGGCCGTGGAGTTGGGTCACGGCGAGGTTAGCATCACAGGTGTGGAGGAGAACACCTTGATTGCAAGCCTCTGTGACCTCCTGGAGAGGATCTGGAGTCACGGGCTGCAGGTTAAACAGGTCTGGAAAACATCACCATGGTCACAACGATCCAATAAGGAGAGATTACTAATTTTAAACAGGAAATGGATTTAATTGACTTTCTTCTTCTTCCAGGGGAAATCCGCCTTATGGTCCCACCTCCTGCATTACCAGGACAGCAAAGAGAAGAATGCCACTCCAGGCGGGTTGGGACCTCCAGGTAAGCGGTCTTGTCATTTCTCTTTAGGAGTCCAGTCAGCTTCGAGAATGGTGACGTTTTTCATAGGTGCGTTTACTTTCCTCCCAGGGTTCATTCATGACACGGAGCGGAGGAAATCTGATGGCGGTGGATCAGCCATGCCTCCGCTCAGGATCTCCCTGATCCAGGACATGAGGTGAGGAACATCCCGACAAGCGATTAATGCAATCCTCAATTCCGACACTTGTTGACCCAACTACTGATCACACTGGACAGATGTAAAGTTTGGAAGAATAATGCTGCCCCCTTGTGGTAGATGTTGAACTGGACCACAAAAGACAGCAGCATGTTTTCTGCCATAGCGATATGGAACAGTTTAATACAAGCTAACTATTGGATGTATTTTTAAACATAAACAGAGTTGGCAATTGTCAACAAAATATTAGAAATATCTGTGTGGGAAAAGGACAACAGTTTTCATTTTCAGTAAATGAAAAGTTAAGCCTAAATTATTAGAAATATATAGACTGCAACAAAGTATTGGCACTGATTTTTATTACTGGAGTCAATGAACTATGTCAAATATTTTAATGTACAAAATCAGTCCTGAGTCACATAAAGTATATTTTCAGAAGAATACACTTTTTTTAATGTTTTAAATGTGAATTATATTAAATGTTTTATGTTGCATCAACTTCCTAAACAGTTCCTTTTTTAAACTCGTGTTATAACAAAGGCATCAACAAATATTGTTGATAGAGCTGGCTAAAATGAGAAAACATCAAATCAATACATTTGTGTACATTAAAATGAAAAGGAATAAATAAATAGGGTTTAATATATTGATAGTGGGCGAAATCATCTACCAGGACATGTATAAATAAACACATAAATACAATTATGAAAATGTTCATTATAGCAAAAGTTTTTATTATAAAGTTTTACAATTAAACTTGGCTTTTTCTTAAGAGTTTGAAATGGAACCATGTGGCAAAATGTCCAAACTACAGCAAAGATAAAGAGGATGACATGTTTCTAATATGGCAGATTACTTTTTTTTTTTTTTTCTGTCCAACTAAAAATGTTTATCAAGAATGTTTCAATGTAGGGAGAAGTCACCTGTTCAGAGATGCTCATCTCTTTCAACACATTTATATGCTTTAACACCTTTGGAAAGGTGTGTTTCTGCAGACCACGCTGTTATCTACTAAAAGGATTCAGTGTTGTGCTTTCTGGGCTTGCATGAAGAAGACGCAGAGTGAGTCTGCATGGAACGGCGAGTTACTTCCAGCCTAATTATCATACCTCCCACCAGTCTCACTGAGACGAAAAGAAGGGAGGAGGGGTCATCTCGGGACACAGCCATGCAGCTCTACTTTATGTTGTGAATACATCCTGCTCCATGTTGTTGTAAATGTCTGACACCATTAGCAGAACCACAGTCCTGTAAATAAATGCATTATTTAATAGTGAGTACTGTGTTGCTATTATCATTTTCACCATTTTAGAGCTTCCAAGCAAAAGCTTTGGCTTGTGTTTATTCTCTGGATTCTGACATTACCAGCTCACAAATGTTTCCTTCTGGAGCAGAGAAATCTAGGTTAGTAGGTTTGAATGAGGGTGGAGACAGCAGAGTGGGTGTGGAAGGTGGAGGAAGCGTAGATGTGGCACGCGTATGGCACAGGTGGAGTGGAAGGGAATCTGTCTGGACATCAGCGACATGATAGTGGCTGGAAGCCATCTCAGAGGCTTTCACATTAAGGGAATGCGCCGTGGTTGAAATGCTGCTAGGAGAAACAGTTTTCCCAGCCTGCTGTTGCGACAGGAATATGATGTCCAAATTATAGCAATAAATTGTAAAAAGTATGTGCTTTGTTTGTTTTGGTTTTTTTTTTCCAAATTATGCATTTGGTTTTTATATAGAACAAAACTCCTTTGAAACTTTGTGCATTTTTCCACTGGTGTGGCACATTTTATACACATTCGTAGAGAAATTGACCAATTCAAGAGGCTTCCATGTGTAGTATAGTATCAGCCTCTTGTATTTCCCCTGTAATTATACTCCTTCAGCTTATTTACCCATTTATGTGTTGCCTTTGTGTTTGTCTACCTTTCCTGTCGCCCGAACCCCTCATTTCACCTGCAGACACATTCAGAACATTGGGGAGATCAAGACCGACGTGGGCAAGGCCAGAGCCTGGGTCCGCCTCTCCATGGAGAAGAAACTGCTTTCCAGACACTTGAAGCAGCTGCTGTCAGATCACGAGCTAACAAAGTGAGCTGAACTACCACTCTGCATTGGCGACAATTACTTCATTGTGGTTAAAGCTGCAGCAGTAACATTTTAAAACTGAAAGTATGTCTTTTAGCCCTTGATTGTTGTGCATGTGCTGGAATATCCGTTTTGAAAGCCAGACAGTGTGTGATTAAGCCATTTATAATGCATTTCTTCTGGAATTGCACAGCATTATATTGTAGTCCAGAGTGCATTAATATTTCAGACTTCTTCATAATTGATATCTGGGGGACAAACCGGGTTTGGGGAAGTTCTGTCTGCCTTTCAGGCTGTAGAGTCACTTTTCTCCTAAAACCTGAACGACAAAAACTGTTAAGTTTACCCAATTTTATTTACCTGCCATCTTTGTCAGTTCAAAATAATTACCAAATGTCAGAAATCCCTGTAATTCAGGCAATGTCAATTGTCTTTTTTTTAATTCTTTGGCAATCGTCTGCTGCGTTTTAGAAAACTGTACAAGCGTTACGCCTTCCTGCGCTGTGACGACGAGAAGGAGCAGTTCCTTTACCATCTGCTGTCCTTTAATGCTGTCGATTACTTTTGTTTCACCAACGTCTTCACAACCATCAGTGAGTGTCGCCTAAAAATGCACCTTGTTCATGTTTTATTGATTTGAGCTGCCAGAACAACGTTTCCCTTCTCTCCGGCTGCCAGTGATCCCTTACCATGTGGTGATCGTTCCAAGCAAGAAGCTCGGCGGCTCCATGTTCACAGCCAACCCCTGGGTGTGTGTTTCCGGGGAGCTGTCGGAGACCGGAGTCCTTCAGGTCCCCAGAAACACATTGGAGATAACTTTTGAGGTTTGTGCCCTGACTTATAAAACAGTTATCATTTTGTTTTTGTTTATATAATCAGATTTGCGAGAAGTGCAATAACATGGGAACAACGGAGGCTTCCACGTTGTTTTTAAAAGGTGGTGTTCTTTTTATTTCCATTAAGCTGTTTAGACTTCTAAAGGGATGATGATACCTGTTCAAAGCCTCTCCGCCATGTATTTGTTTTGATGTGAGATATTTTATCTGCATTAGTTTAGCAATCTGAATGTAGTTTGTGTTTACTCTTCTTAAGTCTAAAGGTTTTAGTGAACTCTTTGAAACAAGAAAAAGCAGCTGCCCACTGTTGCTGTCTTGTAAAAGTACTCATTATGTGTCTATCTTCCTTGTATAGCATTTTGACAGCTTTCCTGTCTGTAATTGAGATGTCTGATTTTTTTTTTTTTTTGCGCTCATATAGACACTAAGCATTGTATTCTTTCTCACATTACAATTCTAAGATTACCTAATCAAGCCACTCAAGGTCTTATTTGAGGTTCTGTAACATCGTGGGTTTATATGCATGTAGAACCCGATCACTCGGGTCGGATACTCATGCCAGGTGTGACCAGCCACCCTCACAGCTGCCCATTTGTATGTGAAGAAAATAGGACACATCTTAAAGCCAGAACAGAGCCTGGCTTCAGTCTGCTTTTAAGGACTGATTCACAGAACAGTTCTATGTGGCTCTATAAGGGAGCTCCTCTTTTAAACCACTTAAGCTGTTCACTCATGAGCTCCTGTGAGAATAAAGCGGTGACCTCTCCCCCCCCCACTTCACACTTCCTTGCCAACTCTGCTCAGCAAGGACCTCCTTTACTATCTTAACAGCTGTTCATTGACTACAGCAACTGGTGCCATTTTACAATTGCACTGTGGTGGTTAAAAAAAACTTCTGAAGCCTAGCCTGAAAGTGTTTATCCTTAACTCTTTAATATGGGCCAGGAACTCCTCAACTTCACCCCTAAATACACAGCAGTAGAGAGGATCATGTCAAGACTGGTTCCAGTCTTCGACATAGCTTCATAGATGCTTGTTGTTCTCTGTACAGTACCAATAATATAAAAACATAAACATTAAATGTAATATAAATTAACAATGCTGTTTGAGACATCAACAGAATGCTAGAAGGTTCTAAGTTTGTTTTCTAAAAGTTGGTAATGATTGTGTTTGATTTTACATTTTTGCACTCTCCAGAGAGTGTAAATACATAGATTTGCTTTTTCTTTTTCAATTTTTTAATTTCTACATTTTAACATAATGTGGTTCTCTGTGTTTTAGTGTCAGAACCTGGGAAAGCTCACAACGGTACAGATGGGTCACGACAACTCAGGACTGTACGCCAAGTGGCTTGTGGAGTGCGTCGTGGTCCGGAACGAGATCACAGGACACACTTACAAGTAAGTTAAAGAAAAAAGAAAATAGAGTATGATTTTAATAAAAATGTTTTTCCCTTTTAACCAGCTCTCTGCGCTTGGTGTTAGGTTTCCATGTGGTCGCTGGTTGGGGAAAGGCGTAGATGATGGTAGTCTGGAAAGGATACTGGTGGGAGAGCTGATGACCCCCACTACTGAAAATGATGAGCGGATGTGCCGCACACCGCCCATGCAGCAGTCTCCAGGGATGATGAGGAGATTTGTTACCATCTCACCAAGCAGCAAACCAAGTCAGTTAATCATCCTGATTGCTTATATCTTACAATTTTATTAAAATGATCCTCCCCTCCCCAATACACACACTTTATCACACTTTATACTGCATGACCGTACAAACCAACAGAAATGCTTTTCATACCTATATATTTTCTTTTATGACTTGTGAAATTTATTAAGATACACAGATTTTTGATTTTTTTAAAATCAAAAAATCAAAAAGGAGCAACCCTTAAGCTGCTCCTTTAAGGATTATGTTAATCACCGTGTGAGTTCCAGCCTTCACAGAAATGAATGCATGACTGATAAAACAAAATGATCGAGAGATAAAACCCGGTTGGGGATTATTTTTTTAGAACATCATTGTTTACTCTTCTCCTCCCCTTTCAGAGTTGAATACAGGCCAGATCCAGGAGGGAGTGGGAGAGGCCATCAATGGGATCGTTAAACACTTCCACAAGCCAGAGAAGGAGGTGAGAGATGAGCAGTCTAGACAAGCCTGTACACGTAGTTCTATTATTCATCATGTATGAAGAAAAGCGCGCCCCTGTGCTCCTGTCAACCCCATTAACCTTCAGTTACTCAGGGCTACAGTGGGGAATTCAAATATAATAATGCTGTTTTGTTTTACTCTAAATTTCATCCGTTTGTATTTTTTGCACCCTCAGTGAATCTGTACAAAAACAAAAAAACACTAATTATTGTGTAGTGAATGCAGGTTCAGCTGACATCTTCAATTAAAAGGAAGATGCTCAGTAAGGATTATTTAGCTGCATTAAAATCTAACACTTGATTGTAGGGTTGATCACTAATTCACTGTTATAAAAGAACAAAGAGCCTTTAAGGGAAATCCCCTTAACTCTCACTCCACCTTTTTTAAGAGACCAAAAGAACAAAGGAGCCCGATGAGAACTAAAAGTTCTTTCTGAAATTAATACAATTTTCATTTGGTTATTTCACCAAGTCTGTCACAACATCCAAATTGCTGATGCAGTCGTTGATAGTATTTATGTAAAAATAAAAAAAATCAAACCAAAAATATTAAGAGTCACCATAAATCGAATATTTTAAATATCGGTGTGAGGTGTAAACATCCGCAGTCCTATTTTTGTGAAATATTTTGTGAAGGATTTCATATTTTCAGTAGATTGGTCTTATGGTGTTTTAATCAAAGAGCTGTGTTTTGTTCTCTGAATCCAACTCCATGCTTTTGTTCCCTCCACAGAGAGGCAGTCTGACGCTGCTGCTGTGTGGGGAGTACGGTCTCGTCTGGGCTCTGGAGCAAGTTTTCCAGCACGGTTTTAAATCACCTCGACTCTTTAAGAATGTCTTCATTTGGGACTTTTTGGGTAGGAACTTGAGCTTTCTAAGACTAGTAAACTGGAGGTTTAATTTTCTTTCCCTTAGCATTAGATAACGAAGCAAGAATTCTACTCATATATTTCAAAAGTAGCAACAATAAGGAATTTGAAATTGACACAACATGAAGCTAACTGCAGAAAATGCATTAAATTTAATAAGATACTTTGGGGATAACCGCTAAAGCAAAGATGCATATCATAATAGATGCAAACTTTAGAAATACCATAATATGGTTCTGAATATTTCTGAATAAATATAGCAAATTTTCTAACACAAAAAACTCTGACCACACCCTCAACAAAAAGATGAATGTTTTCCAATTTGACTTGTGAATTAAGCATTTTTTTTTTTTTGCTTCCCTAGACTTTTGTTGCATTTTCTGTTTTGGTCTTTTGTGGAATGGTGCTGTTGTTGTTGAAAACGTTTGGAGTAATGGCACGTGAGGCCAGCTTAAACAATATCCTGTTTTTATATCTAGATCAAAACTGGCTTTTAGGGTTTCAATGAGAGCATAAAGCCCTTCCATGGCTGCATGGTCCAGTTCAGCATAACAATAAGTTTTCCTGTGTCTTATTAAGTGTTTTGAAATTTTCTATTTATTGTATTTTTGCCTTGAAATGAAATGCTCTATTGCAAGCAATGTAAGGTTGAGAGTTCAGCCAGTCCCACTGCAGCTAATTAATTGCTTGAATTGGTTGGATCAAAAACAACAATTTAGTTAAGAGTTGTGCAAAAATGATTCTAAAACACTACAAGCATTTTAAAAAAAATCACCTCTGTTTTAACTGGAGTGATTGCTTTAAATGGGTTACTTATTCATTCATATGACTGTGCAGCGAGTATTAATATCTTTGGATGGTTTTAACCCTTCAACAGAGAAGGCACAAGTGTACTTTGAAAGTGCTGAGCAACAGGAGGCGACCCCAGATGAAAACTGGCAAACCAGAGTGCGCCACTTCTGCCGCTTCATGCGGGCCATCAATAGCACGTCGAGAAATATTGGCAAGGACGGGAAGTTTCAGATGCTTGTCTGTCTGGGAGCAAGGTGAGTAAAAGGGAGCCAACAACGTACACAGTTAAAACATTGTACGTTTTAACGGTTGATGTTTGTAATAAGGATTTTGCCCCTTGTAATGATTTCTGGATTCCCTAAAGGCTGCTCTGTTGATTTTGCGTGTTTGTCCCTTCCTGTCACAGGGACCATTTGCTGCATCACTGGATCGCTCTGCTTGCAGATTGTCCAATCACCTCCCAGATGTACGAGGACACTGCGCTCATTAAGGACCGCTCACTGGTAAACTCCCTGATCCGCGTGCTACAGACTCTGCAGGAGTTCAACATCACCCTGGAGGCTTCGTTAGTCAAAGGAGTTGGCATCTGAAACTAAACCACGCTCTCCACCAGTTGTACCCAACAGGAATATCACAGAGGACCACTAAGAGAAAAGAATAACTGAACTTTTTTTAATGCAGGAACAGACTTGAACAAAGAACACTTTCTGGCTTACTGAAGCTACTGTCACATTTGCCATATGTTAAGTGCAATGAGCCTTTCAAAATTTATTTTTATCCTCAATGATGATGATGATGCCATTAGATGTTGGAGAATTATGTTTTCTATTATGGACCATGGTTTTCACGACATTGAGGATGACCTTGTTCTATAATGTTTTACTGAAAGCTCAATATTTTCATTGTTGCCGTGACTCGAGGACAGCGGTTCTATTTAAGGGAAAGCGAGGATTAAAACTGTTAATATATTTTGGGATAAAAACAGTATTATTTTGTTAAATCGGTGCAGTTGCTTGCTCTGTTGTCAAATCTGATTTTTAAATGTCATAACGCAGAGTTTAAAGCAAATGATGTAGAAGTATGCTTTATAAGTATGCATATGACAGGATGGCTCATAGAGTGGTAGGTGATTTTGTTTTATTTTTTTTATGCAAGTTTGACTCTTTCCCAAGCAAACATACATGTATGTATGCAAATATTTTATTTGGAATACCTTCAGTTGAAGAATAGGTCCTCCTATCACGATGACTGTGTGGCTCAAGCCTGCTCCGAGTGACAAATGGAGCAACTTTATTTTCAGTTGGTTTTAGGAAAATAAAACCAAGAGCGCTCCAGGAGATGGTTGACCCTGTTATTTTTGCAGTTAACTTCAACCTTCAGTGTAAATACCTCCCAGCAGCCATATCCTTCTACTATCATTGCAGCCCTTACACTACATATACTCTGTTCTTTGAACTACAACGTGATGACCTGAGTAGTTCCTGTGCTGACTTCTGACCTGATAACTATGTGAGGAGCTCAAAGGACTATTTTATTTACCCCACACTTGTTCCTGGTTTTTGTCATCATGGTTTCTTGCTATGCAATAACTACAAGAGAAAACTGAGATATTACCGGGCTCTTTCCATTTACATAGGATTGGACTTTATCTTGTGGAATAAGAGATTTGATATATGATGGACTTTTTTTTGTGTGCCAACGGCGTCTGGAATGACTGTGTTGTACTCGTCTGTGCGACCCACAAAGGCATCTTGGGAGATATATATTTTTCTTTTCCAGTACAGTTGTACATTTATCGACATACTTGTGTAATGTAGTGTTTACTAAGTGAGCAAACGTGTACAGTGTAAAAATATTAAGAATAAAGCATCTGTAAAGCATTATTCTGGGCCTCGTCTATTTCAAAAGGATATGTTACAATCGGCAAGTCAGAAAATGGTAACACTTAATTGAGATCAATTAAGTGCTACAATCACTTAATTGATCTCCTCAAAAACAGCTTTTTATTTTTCTTTATAGATTGAAGTTTTTTTTAAGTTACTCATGATAAATCTTGAGTATCATTTCATTTTCTGTTTCCTGTGAATAATACAACCAGTGCTTATTCTTTTAAGTTTTGGTTTAAGAATGTCAAATAACTAGATTTTTGTTTTTGAGTATGCATCAGAAATTTATTTAGGAGGCAAGTGCATGCCAAATTTGTCCTCAAGCTCTAGATTACATGAACCTTTATTTCTAATTTCATTTAAGGATTCAAGTACATTGTCTTGTGGAAAAGGAATGAAAGCTAAATGTTTTAAAGGAGAATATATATTTTTTGACATTTTATCAAGTGGAACTGACATAAAGGAAGAATATTATTTAGAGTCCATTTGTTCACCTGGTTTATGGTGGTATCCATGTACAGATTTCAGAATAAATTGAGGGACCGCAAGCTTTCAAAGAGGTTTGCCTTAATATGTAAATCTACATTTATAATTGTACTATCTAAGACTTATTTAGATCATACAAAGGACTGTTAGTTCTTTTCAATTATTATTTTTTTAAACTGTCAACATATACATACATGCATACAACTTTTAACAGTTTACTTTTTTTGCAATAAGAAACATAGTTTATGTCATATACAAGTGATTTGTTTGAACTTCCTAAGCACTGTTACATATGGTTATGGGTTTGTTAACCTTCAGCAATATATAATTTGCTTGGGTGCTTGCTCTGTTAAAAATTGTACATTTGCCCAATCTGTGGCCGTTTTGAATTCCCTTATTTGCTTGACATGGCTTACACGTGCCCAAAATACTGCTAAATTGGTGTTTTACAATAGGTAACCAGTACTTGTATCTTTAAAAGTATAATATTACGGTTTCATATCCCATGCCAAGGCGTTAATGATCAGTTATATTCTCTGTTGAATGCGCTTTCTCAGCTGTGAAAACGTAAACAAAGTCGTTCGCGCCATGTCAGAGAGCTGTTTTTCTTTGAAGCCTCGGGCCAGGTGGTTTATGGGACTATGAGTTCAAAAAGAGGCCCTTCACCACTGACGTCGCGGTGTTTTCTCCCGCATTCACTACGCCTCCCATCATTCATGTTGCCAGAAGAGTACGAGAAGACTGTGGCGATTGGTCGAGCCCAGGTTCAAACCCAACGGCTGCACTCCTTATATGGTCATTGTCCGCTCGCCCTTTCATTCCAGCTTTTTATGTAAAACACATTCTAATGACCAGCTGTATGCAGCAATAGTATGAGCATGCGCAGTACGTGAAAAGAGGACGGCGAAGATTCAAAGTTTTTGTTCAGTAAGTACACTGTTATTTTCTTTGTACAAGATTTATATTATTTTGACTTTTACACGCTTGTTATATGCGGAACTTGCGGCCATATTGTAAGGTTCTGGTGTCCTGACGTGTGCGTTCGTTGTCGTTTTGGGTTAAACGTGTAAAGACTTACCATGTCGACAATGGAATAACGTGGAAGTGAACGAGAGCGTGGCCTCGTCGGCTAGCACTCATGCTAACGGCTAACAACAATGAGCCATATTTGGCGCACTCGCAGACGAAAAGTTTTAATCTGAAGGGGAAGACGGTGTCTGCCTTAACTTTGTGTTTCTAGCTACAGAGTTAAACCCTCGCATTGAGTGTGTCCCAATGAAGTTGTTTAGGTGGTTTAAATATTGCGGTAGCTTTTTGTCTTTGGTTTCAGAAAGTGCAGCTGCCCGCTTTTTGTTTGGGGCATCCACTTCAGACAGACCCGCCGCTTAAAGTCCCGTAGCAGAGACATAAATTGAAGCGACATATCAAGATGAGCTTCTTCTCTTTTGTCGTCCACATTTGTGTTCAGCATTGCCGCTCATTTTACGGATAAAGCGGTCCTCGTGTTATTGTGGGTGTAACGTCCCAGACTGTTGTGTTTGTTTAGGATACAATTTCAAACAAATCGATTCACTTAACTCGACCTAAAGTTTAGTTTTTATGTAGTAAAATCTCTTCATAGCATTAGACTCGTGTTACTGTTGTTTGCCGTATGCTAGTTTGGTGTTGTTTGGCTTTAAACTCCGTACGTAAGATGGTGAAACAAAGTGGGGGTTTTTTTTCTTCCAAGTACTGTTATGCTGCTTTTGGTGACTTTTGAGGTTTTAATTTTACAACCTAACACTTTAAATCTGTGTGTTCGCAAGATTTGCTACTAAATGTTTAAAATGGTTTCAATATTCCTGTGTGTGTGCGTGTACGGACCGCCCCCTTTTAAGAGCAGAAAGCACAACTGCGTGCAGACATCTGTGCTGATCGTAAACCAGCACGCACCGAGTCTATGACGGCTCGTGTTTTCTTACGTTTGCAGGACTTTTCTTTCCTCGACTTGCACCGACCAGCAAATTGAGGATGTTTGGCTTTCACAAGTCAAAAATCTACCGGAGTAATGATGGCTGTTGCATCTGTAAGACCAAGTCCTCTAGTTCACGCTTCACGGACAGCAGCAGATATGAAGAGACCTTCAGGATGTGCTTTGGGTACAACCTCTTATTCCATAATATCATACATTTGCACGTCAGTAATAGCTGCTTACAGAGCTTTCAGATCTAATTACCCTTTTTCCTGTTGCATTAATTTTAGACTCTCAGAAGATCGCGTTGGAGACATTTGTAATGCGTGTGTTCTGCTGGTGAAGAGATGGAAGAAGCTGCCTCATGGCTCCAAGAAGAACTGGAATCATGTAAGTAATGCCTCCAGTTGAGCACACAGAGGTGTCATGTTTTCAAGTGCAAGTTAACTTTGTTGTGTGTTTTTAATTGCTTTCCCTCAGGTGGTTGATGCTAGAGCCGGCCCAGGTTTTAAGGTGACAAAGCCCAAGAAGATCAAGAACAGTGATGGGAAGAAGAAGAGCAAACTAAAGAAGCTTCATAAGTTTAAGAGGCAAAGTAAGTAGTTCAATATTAAGAAACATGTTGCCTTCCATTTCTAAAAGTTATAAGTAATTTAGCAAAAATAAGATATTTGAAATCCATGCATATCTTTTTTTTATTCGCACTGATGCTCTTTTGACACTTGTGCATTGTCTTCTTTGATTTGTAGTGTAGGCTACTTGCTTAAAACATTTTGTATTTCTAGTAAAATAATCAGTATTTGTGATTTAATGTCCAATACAAGTGTATTGCAAAAAATAACATTTTCTAAAATCACTGCATTTTCATTCTGCTTTAGATTTTTTAGTCTTTATCTCCATATAAACTAAATGCATTTGTTTAATAATCTCTAGCAGCACCTAGTGGCTGATTTAAATAAAGCATGAAATGTGTCTAGTTGTCTATTTTCTAGTTCACGCTTCATAAACATTTGGCTTGTTTTGTGTGTCGGCTTCATTTTTATATGGGATTCAAAATTCAGATGTGGTGTGCACACCTTTGGTATTTTTGTGCCCTTTGCAGAATAATTCACCTGTAATCAATTGTTCTATATAATAAATAAAATAGTGACAAGGCAAGTAAATACCACCACAAATCCTGATTATTCCAGTGGTTCTAAAACTAAATATAAATTTCTTTCAAGTTTATTTCTGTTTCATTTTTTTTAAGCAGACTCAGATGCTCATAGCACAACGTCCAGCATGTCTCCTGCCCAATCTCCCAGTTACAGCAACCAGTCAGATGACGGTTCTGACATTGAGTCCAAACAAAGACGCTCATCTCCTTCCATCTTCTCCTTCCTGGATCGTTCTTATTGGAAGAGGCAAGATATTTTCATTGCTCCATCACAAAACAAAAAACAAAATCTAATTTTTATTGTTTTGTTATTATACTCTGATTAGCCTCTTTCTACATATATCTATCTATATAAAAATTATGTCTTTTTTTTTTTTTTTCTTCTAGGCAAAAGGTGTGCTGTGGAATTATTTACAAAGGTCGGTTTGGAGAAGTGATTATCGATCCCCGACTTTTCAAGCCTTGCTGCAGCTCAAAAAAACAGAAGACACTGACGCCCACTCAGGTGCCCACACTCCAACCACAACTCCCAGAAGATTTGAAAGAAACCTGGTGAATGGTTTTCATTCAATCTCCCTTTTTCCTATATGGGGCTATCCATGGCATCCACCTGGATTTGTCTCCAGTGGCAGACCTCATTTTCATTCCCCGTTAGATCAGTTAATGTTCGTCCTTGTAATAATCATTTTTATATGGGTATTTTTTAAAAATCTTTTGTATAGAGTTGAGCTCTTTGTTTTAACCGAAAAAATAAAATAAAAAAAAAACTTTTGGGCATTAGTGTTATTTATAGGATAAGGATTACATTTTCTTGAGTTAAATTTTTGGTCCTAGATTGCGTTTGGTTATTTTTGTACTGAATGATCAATTTTTGTAAATAATTTTTGTTTTTATTTCATATCAGGACTGCTTTATTTTTTTATAACTTGTAATACTGTAATTGTGTGTATGAAAGGCACCAGCTATTTCCAATACCAGCGTCATGTGTTGAAGGGGAACCTTCAGCATTTTTGCTGCAATGTTTTGTCATCTTTTAGCTTTATTTGTTTCTTCTAGTGCACATCTTGCTTTTGATAACACACAAGGATCAATAGCAAATCTGTTCTGTAAAAATGTAATTTCTTTAAATGTGTACAGATTAGACACATTAGACATAAACAGCTTTAGCCGCCAGTTTGAAACACTCAATTTTAATTTGCTCAGCAGTTTGTGCACATTAGACCATGCTTGCAGTATGTCCCTCTGCTTGTTGGATTGACAGTTTTTATTTATTTCTTTTGTACAGTCTCCAATGAAATTACATTGCATGTTGTAAAGCAAATTGTTTTTTCAATGAATTTTGTAAATACAGCATTTTTGGCTCGTGAGTTTTCCAAAAAAAAAAAAAAAAAAAATTGCATGAAACAGCAAACCACTACATCTGAAAGGTGCTGAAGGCATGTATTTCTTCTTTTTTTTTTTTTTTTCTTACGCTAAAAGACAGCTTGATAACTCATTATTTCCTCAGGTATGTTTCTCAAAAGCCTTGCATTGTATTGACTTGTGCTATGTGCAGAAGTAGGTGTAAACTGCAGGAATCAAAGAAACTCCCCTGCAGAATCAGTGAGCTGTGAACATCTGTTTTCTGCTGTCAAACTGAACATGCTGGAGACCAGTGCTTATTCTACATCTTTGCACTTAGAGGAACATGTTCATCAAAAAAAAAAAGCAATTGTCTAAAGTTCAAACTATGCAGACATTTTGAATGTGAGAATTGCTCTGGGGCTTTTAGTCTCTTAGATGGTGATTGGCCCTCTTTCTTTTTTTTTAACCAAATTGGCTCTATTATTTCAGCAATAATGTCACATCGTTGTCACCAGTCAATGTCTCAAAATGTATGTATGCCATGTTAAAAATATTGCTTATATTGCACAGTTATTGCCATGGTGTATACTGTCTCAGTACTACAGTGACAACGGTTGCTGTTGGGTTTTTTTTGTTTTTTTCTCACATTTTTGTAACCAAACTCGACTTAAAGTAATTGACAGGCACTGCTCTGTAAAGTTGCTTAATATATATAAACTGTATTCTGCGGCAGGGTAGTGAAATGCTGAAAAATTATGATTCTTATTGAAAAGAGGTAAGCTGCTTCCTTTGTAAGCTGGAAAATAAGCTGTTTTTTTATCTTTAGGAAGTTGCCATGTTTTTGCAAGGTACATTTTGGGATGTAAGATGTGCCTTAACGAATGACCTGACCTTTTTCTCTATGATTCATATGTAATTTATATTTATTTATTACACAACCTTTTTTTTTAACTAAAATTTTGAGCTAACTGGTGTTGAGCCTTTCAGAAAAAAAAGTCTGTTTCTAATTTTGTGCACTTCCTTTGAACATGCAATGTATGGGTTTTTTTTATATGCTTTTTGTATACTGTACCACAAAGTAGATCTGTATAATAAAAATTAAAACAAAACCGTTCTCCTGTGGTATTTTCTTGTGCAACTAGGCGGTGGGGAAAAGCCATACACGGTTGATATGTTACACCAGCAAGACAAAGAGTGTTAGACATTTGTTGTAATACAGTTCAATTCTGTGAATTTATATATGTCCAATCTGCAGCCAAATCCAGTGAAAACTTTAAATGTTCATCAGAAATTATAAAGCACTATTATTCAAGTTTACTTTATGAGATTAAAGTGAGACTTAATCTCATAAAGTAAGAATTTTTTTGAAAGTTAAAATTTCTTTTAAAAAAAAAAGTATGTCTGATTGGATAAAAAAATAAAAATCCTCCTCAATGCAGATAGAGGGCGCACTTTATTTACTAATTGCTGGAGTCATCAAGAGCAGAGAAGTGTTAATTTACAGCACTTCTAAAAAATTACATATTGTCATGAGGTCAATATTTCCAGGACTAATGCTTTTATTGAAATAAACTTTTATCAACCTTTTATGCAAATTGCCTGTTATTTGTAGTTTAAAAATACAACACTCCATATATTTTCATCTGTTCAAGGAATCTACCCCACAATTCTTAATATAACCACTGGATATGTCTTCACTTCAAAGTTTTAAATGCATCAAGGAATTTTAGACAAACATGTGTATTTACCACGTAATGCCATATCTGTAAACATCAGAGTCAAAAACATTGATATTAGATTCTTTTGTTCAATAGAAAGTAGAAGCTATGGGCAATATCTCACAAAACAGCACTAAAACCTAATATATGCTATACTTCATAATATATCTGTATGTTACTGTTGGAGCACTGAAGCACTCCAACCTTGTTATCTGTTGTCTTATTCAACTCCATGCACTTTTTTCACAAATCTCTAAAGGTTTTTGTTTGTTTGTTTTTTTAATGAACAAACATTTTGTTTCTTTATCCACTTCTCTGTGGATTCGGTGATAATGAAAAGACAAAGTCCTGATGCAGCAAAACAATCCCAAACTGTGGCACTTCTGCTTCCATGTTTCTTGGTCGGTTTTCTCCTGAAATGCTTTACACGCTTTCTTCTATTCTGGTGCCCAAATGATCTGGTTTCAGACAAAGGTCATTAGTCCTAAAATCCTGGTCTGTGTTTGTTTTGTTTTTTTATGAAACTTTAGTCTGATCTTCATGTTTTGTTTAGAGGACAAAGATTTTCTCTTCTTCCACCTCAAACGAAAGTTAACTCGAGCAGTCTGTTTCAGATTGCACAAGTATGCACTTTCATTTCAATAGTCAGACGAACCTGCTGTAGGTCCTGTGATGTTGTTTTAGGGTTTTTGGAGACTTCTTTTAATATCTTGTGGTCTGCTTTCAGGGAAAACTTTCTTGGAGAGCAAGATCTGAGCATGTCGGTGGTTGTTTTAAATGCCCTCTACTTATAGACCGTTTCCCGTAGGCTTATAGGGAAATGACTGATCTCAATTTCTTCTGAGACCTCTTTAACTGCCTTACCAGACTCAAACGCTGCTGCAGTCTTCACCCACGTCGATGACATCAACATCTGGGTATGTGTGTGTGTATTTTATAAAAATGAAATTGTTATGACATTTTATAAGAAGTTTCAAAACTATTTTTTTTTACTTTGTTTTGTTGGTTATATAATCTGGCTGTTTTAAAAATATATATATATATCTTAAATAAATGGGCCGCAAAACCTATTTGTGCAAATATGTTTTAAAAAACCCTCAAAGGCAAACATATATTCCTGTGGTGTAAGTCAATGTTAGTCATTGCTCTTTAATTCGCATATGAAGAAAATACTTAACTTTGACATGTTCCTCCAGAAAGTTAGTTCTCCTTGTTCTTAATTCAAATCTCTGCCACTGAAGCTGGTTGCTCCCAGGTGCCCATCTGCATTAAAATCAGAATTATTATTTTTTTACCATTGGCCCTTCCATACTTCCCAGAGACCACATCTCTGTTTTAACGATCTCTATTACGGCCCCTGCACTGAAGAGATCATATTAAGTCATATTTTTATGATGACTGTGACTAATTGGTCCCCTAGGACTAATTACTTTTTTACCTTTACAGTTTTCCTTCAACAATGAATACAACTGTGACATGTCGCACTTTTAGCTTAAATTGCACTAGGATGAAATCACATCTTTCATTTGCTGGATCAGGGGTCTGCAACCTCCAGCTCTGGAGCTGCAAGTGACTCACTTAATTCATTAAACCATGAGATAAATGCCTTTTCTTTTTCTTGTTTCATTACTTTGCTCTGTGGCCCCATAAAAAATAAAAAATAAAAAAAAATCAATGACCCCTCACCCCGGTCCCCTAGAAAGAACCACCAGTTTATAAAATGTCATAACTTACACATTCTAACTGAATTTCCAATAACGAAAGCAAACAACAACAAAACTTGATAACACTAACTAATTAGAAATAAATTTAACTACAAAAGACTGCCTTGATTTTCGACCTTAAAATTGGCAGAAAGCTACAAAACTCAGATTTGCTTCATGCGGGAGAACCTGCGGACTGCAACGTCTTCCGCTCGGAGCTTTCAAAAATAAAAGCCTCCACCGCGCGCTGGTGCCTTTGGCAATTTGGACGCTTCACAGCTCAACCCCCCCCCCCCCCCCCTATCTCACCCCCACCTCCCGGTTTACTCCCGCGTGCGCGAACACGCACGCCTTAATTCTCTCTCCCTCTCTCTCTCTCTGTCTCTCTCTCTCTCTCTCTCTCTCTCTCTCTCTCTCTCTCTCTGTCTCTCTCTCTCTCTCCCTCTCTCTCTCTTTCTGTCTCTCTCTCTCTGTCTCTCTCTCTCTGTCTCTCTCTCTCTGTCTCTCTCTCTCTCTCTCTCTCTCTCTCTCTCTCTCCCGTACTTTCAGTCACTCTCTCCTTTCTCTTTTCTAAAGCCCGTTGTGAAGCGGATTGACAGGCGAGAATGAAAATGAGGCGGACGCTCCGTCACGACTTCAGTGCGCCCGCGTCCTTTTGAGGAGACCTCTAAAACTTGGACCGTATCGCCATGGGAGCTATTCGTGCCGCGAGGAACTTTTGTTTGTTTTTGCTCTTGTTAAATAGTCGTCAAAGCGTAGCGCTTCCAGAGACTCGAGGTGGGACTGTAGTGAGTGTTTGCATGTGTTCTGGGTTTTTGTTTTTTTTTTTCTCAGCCCAGTGGAATGCGACTTTTTACGCACGCCTTAAAATTCTTCATATAAAAATAAGATTATGGGATTTTATTCCCATAATACTACTTACATTGTAGATAGTGTAACCGGTAGTAACTTTTTTTGTATTAATTCATTTCCTCAGTTTCTCATTTCAGTTAATAATTTAAACATAAAAGAGGCTTTAGGCTGTTATTGATGACATACTGGCATGTTTTCCACGTGTTTTGGTCAATCTGAACAGATCCCTGCGCAGAAGGAACTGATGGCTGTCACATAGATGCTATTTGTCAGACTACTCAAGGCTCATCATATAAGTGCACATGCAAAGGAGGCTTTAAAGGAGATGGAAAACACTGCGAAGGTAAGTTGTCGATACTTTGAGAACTGTATTCATTGACTCCTGTGTTGTCATTTTTATTAATATCTGTTGCACTATTTGTTCACTGGCTCACCAGTGGAGCGTGCATCCACCGCTCCATTGGTGAGCTACTCCCTCTGACCAGCAGGAAAACACATATTCCTGTGGTGTTTACTCCTCAGATATTGATGAATGTGACCTGGAGTACAATGGCGGTTGTGTGCATGAGTGCACCAACATACCAGGCAACTATCGCTGCACTTGCTATGATGGATTCAATTTGGCCAACGATGGACACAACTGTCTGGGTAGGATCCACTCCAAGCTTCAGAGGGAACTCTCTGAAGCACGGAGCTCTGAATCATCGAAACAGATTTTTTGAGGAATCTATGTTTGTGTGGGTTGTGTTTGAAGTTTTACGCAGTCATTTAAAAAGTATTAGCCTCATTTGCGGTGTTTATAATGCCAAACCTGATTTATAGTGAGGGGGGGAAATGAGTGATGAGGACAAA